ACTGAATAGAACAATGATGTCACCTTGCCTAACATAGTACAATCAGCAACAATGATGTCATCATATACAGCCTAGAAAATGACCACCTGGGCCCGGAATTTAGCTCAATGGCGCCATGCCTGCCTCCCAAGTGCAAGGTCCTGAGTTTGATCCCCCAGTACCAAAAAAAAGAAAAAGAAAATGGCCAATTGTACTATTAATTTGCCATTTTTAACTATATGAACTAGATTTGTGGCTATATAGCAAAATCTAAAACAAACCAGAAAATTGTATACAGTAAATATATTGTCAGCATGTCAGTTTTACCCTTGGGGAAGAAAATTTAAAAGAGATTAAAAAGGGAAAAACAGAGATAGAAAATGATCAAGAAATTGGAAGCAAGGCTGGAGAACAAAGGAAGATTACACACACTTTGGAAACTGGTGAAGACAGGAGAGAGAGAGGGAAGAAATAAAAACAAGAACAGAACAACAACAAAACTAAAAACATTGTTCACACTTACATAAAAAGGAAAACAAACAAGACAAAAACTAGAAAAGAAAAGAAGGGTGGGGGGGAGTCCCCTTCAGGGCATGTCTCTTCTGTTACTGGTAAACAGAGTAGGCAAACAGAGTCCAGATCCATGTTGATTAATCCCAGCAATCCAGGTGTAGATTTAGAGCGGCATAGTGGATAATCGTAGCAAACCTGGTCCTTTAGTCCAGAAGCTCAGGCTGGTTTGGCTGTGAACCTGGAACTCATTTTGTTCAGCCTGCAACACCTTGTGTGCCTCCTGTCAGCCTGAACTTGGCTCCTTGACCTCTTGCCGACTTCATCTTGTTTCCACCTCACCCTGATGGACCCTGCCCATAACCGCTCTGAGTTCCAAGCTCAATTGGGTCCTCTCTAAGATGGTTACTGGCCAGTTGCCATCTCCTGGGGGCTTGTGAACCAGAATAAGTCACCAACCACTGCAGTCTGGTATGTCTACTGCTCCATGCCATTGATGAGTTTCTCTGTGGAGGCCTCTGGGGTCGCCAGTAGTCACAGTGTGTCTGAAGGTTGGAGTAACCCTTCCCACGCAGTGAGTCAGGGCTCAGGGACAAAGTGCCACTTGCCCCTGGCTTCTTTATTGAAGTCTTTCTCTTTGCTCTCCTTGTGGCCTTCGATTCTCTCTTTAGATCTTTGGTCCCAAGGACCAACTTTCTTCCCTCTTCTCTTCTTCAGGTTGCTATATTCCAGCATCTGGACACCAAATCTCAGACAGGCTCTTTCCCTGCTGTTCACTACTGCACCATTTTCCCAGAAGTCCCCTAATTTTAATTTAAATACAGCCTCTTGTGGGTTACTCTGGTAGCTCCTCACAAGGAAGATTAAAAACAAGATTACTTGTTATCATGACTATCTCTGACTTTATTATAGGTTATATAATAAAATACTGTTATCATTACAGATCGTGGTAGCACAAGAAATCTCTTTAATTCCCAGAGGACTTACCATATTTATTATCTTCTCATTACTCACTTGGGTTAATTTTTTATATTGTATAAGATAAGGTCGTTTTTCCCTCTCATAAGTACCCAATTGTTCCAACCATATTTATTGAAAAGACTGCTTTACCTACTTAATTAAATGGTACTTTTGTCGAAAACTGATTGATCATGGATATATGAATCTATTTGTGGTGTCTCTTCTTTTCCATTGACCTGTATATGTCTGTTCTTAGGGCAAGCTGAAGTTTTCATTTCTTTAGCATGATAATAAGACTTGAAATCAGATAGAGTCCTGTAAAATGATAATTAACTATGGCCAGATAGTTTGTTTCAGGAATACTGTGTTGACTCATCATTCAAAAGTCCAATAGCATTTACCTTTGTAACAAACTAAATAAGAAAAACAGTATAATCATTTCCATAGATAGAGAAAAAGTAGTTGACCAAACTCCGCTTCCATTCATAAGACTCTCAGCAGACTAGAGAAGGGAACTACTATAGTATAATAAAGAGTATTTACAGGAAGATTACAGTCAGTATCACAGTTAATACTCAGAAACTTGACTGCTTCTTCACTCCTAAGATTGAGAACAAACCAAGGAGAGCAAAATACAAATTCAAAGTTCAAAAATAACTAGTCTTTATTTGTAGATGACCTTGGCTATGTAAGGAAAAAAATCCCAAAGCATCTCTAAAACAACCACTAAAACTATTGCATGAGATTTGCATGTTTGGAGAATATATAGTCAATAGTAAAAATGAATTGTATTTCTAATAGTAATGAATAATGAGAAATTCAAATTCAAAATAGAATTTACAGTGATATTAAAAAATACAAAATACTTAGGCATGCATTGTATAAAATATGTGCAAGATTTGTATACTGAAAACTGAGTGGTATCGCTGAGCAAAATTAAGATCTGAATAAATGGAGATATACTGTGTTAATGGATCAGAAGATTAAGTATCATTAGTACCTCAGTATTTTAAATTTATCTGTAGGTTTAATCCAAACCAGTCAAGACTTTAGTAGGAGCTTTAAAAGTATCTTAGAGGAAAGAATTGACCAAGTTTGGGTCTATAATGGGAAAGAAAAAGTTTTGTTTTATTTAATAGAAATTGTCAAACATTCTAAAATAATTTCAGAAAATTCTCTCACCTCTGAGAGAAAGTGAACATACAAATCACATTTTATTTTAGGTAACAATATCTAATAATTATTAAGTTTAATATTAGGTATTTAAAAATATTTTATATATATTAACTCACTTAATCCTTAAAAAATGGTATTACCTACTATTCCTATATACCAAATTACAAAACTTAAAGATATAAAGATAACTGACTTAACTAAAGCTAAATTCTAACGCGAACTGGCTCTATGCCCTGATTCTTAACTGTTACCTCAGGTTGCCTTTCCTGTTTCAATTTCTTCCCTAATTACCACTGAGCTTTGGTTGTATAAAGCTTATATTAAGGGCTGTAATATTGCTTTGCTTAAGTGGAGTTTTAAAAATTTTTTAAATTTTTACTAGTTCATCCTTGCAGTACATAATGATTACATTCATGGTGGGGAGTTGGTGTGTGTATACAACACATCTTGGTTCTTTTTACTTCCCCTTAAGTGGAAGTTTAGTCATCCAGAGCTCAGTGTCAGTCATGTTCCCATTGCTGTGTGTAAGAAGGGTGCCAGAGGGTGGTTGGTGAAAGCATGTAGAATGGTTAGTATATTAGAATTCTCTAGAGAGAAGCAACAGGATACATATAGAAAGATAAATGAGGAGGGGTTGATTAGGGGAGTTTTCTCACACAATAACAGAGACTAAGAAGTCCCACATTTAGCTTCTGCTAGCAGGGAAGCAGGAAGCCAGAAGTATGTCTGAATCCAAATCTCTGGGCTGCAGGACTAGGGAAGTTGATGGTGTAACTCGGCCTGATGCTGAAAGCCTAATAACCATGGGTACCACTAATAAAAGCCTTGCATTCTAGAGGCAGGCCAACCATAGGTCTGATGTGCAAGAGCAGATGTCCTAGGACTTGGAAGCAGAGTAGCTGGTGGGGTGGGGAGGGTGGCTTTTCTCCATCTGTTTGTTCTGTACCCCCTTAGCTGCTTGGGGTAGTGCTCATCCACACTGATGGCAGATCTTCCTCCACTTGGTCCATGGAGTCTCTTGCCATTCTTTTCTAGAAACTTCTCACAGACATACCCAGAGACAGTGCTTTACTAGCTCCATGGGTATCTCTCACTCCAGTCACAATCATCACAGTTTATGTGTGTATAAGAAAGACAATGAAAATTGAGTGTATAGTGGAAAATGCATACTTTTCATAATTTACGTATTAATTAGCACAGTGTTATGACTATATTTTCCAAACTAAAGACCAGGGCTTTTATGCCTTTTGGGTATGAAAGTCAGGCTTTGAAATACATAAAACTTTTAAAATTTGGAATTTTCACACCATGAAGTGCCTTTTTAGTCTTGTACCAGAACTACATCTGGGACTTTCTAAAAACTGCTTGTTTGTGTCCCTCTTCCCCATTCAAATTTAGTGGGCAGTTATAAATTAACAGTGCTTGATAGTTCTGATATGCATCTTAGTTGAGAGCCACTAATTTATGGAAGTAGATAGAATACCCAAGAATTGGACCATGTCGAAAAAGCCAAGACTGGGACTATCACCCTGTTTAGTAAAGGCAGGATTCTTACTTTTCACAAATGGTTATCAGCACTGTAAGCATCTGTTCTGAAACTCACTTGCTTATCTGAGAACTTTTCCTTCTCTTCTTATTCTTCACTGTTTGGTCTCTCTCTGGTCAAACTTAATTGTGGCATAATTCTGGAACTCTGTGATCCACTATGTATACGAGCACTTCCACCTTGCCCCCCCCCTTCCCTGTAACAATCTAGATTTTAGGGTTATTGTGAGACATTTCCTAAAATTATTGGGATATTACATTTAGGCATTTTCTGTCTTAACCTGTAATGTTGTGTTGTTATTCACTAAGATTTTCAGAGATAGCTGATGCCTCAGGTTTCCAGCTGAGAAGTATAAAGGGTCTTCTAAACCGAAGGGAATAGAAGAACAGCCATGACAAGTAAAATTACTAGTGCTTCCTTTCTTAAGAGCCAAAGTGAGTTTGAACTAAAAAGAGATTATCTAGCGTTGGTTTAAGTTTTATTGTAAGAAAAAATAAAGCCAAGGGACAAAGATTGACTAGTCCAAGATAGCACAACTAATTTTTATGTAAATAAATGTAGAGCTCAAATAATTACGTGTATGGTTAAAAAGCAGTGAGAAATAGAACTACCAGAAATGTAGTTGTTCTGTTGATTTATATTTCTCTTGCTTCCCTTGCTTATTGAAGGTATAAGCCATATAATTGGTTTTATCTTTCCATTCAATTGGTAAATAATTGAGCAAAGTGTTTTAGTTCCTTTTTAAAGCACATTTCCTATTTTCAATTGCATCAATAATGTACCTTTAGTAAACTTGTTCTATTTTTGTTTTCTCTTTAATGAATTTCAGTTAAAGAGAAACTGACTGCTGATCCAGACAGTGAAATAGCTACAACCAGCCTAAGGGTTTCTCTACTTTGTCCCGTAAGTGTTACTTAATATTTGCTTTCAGGAACGCTTAATGTATATTTCCTCTTTTCTAGTATCTGAGAATACAGTTTAATTTTAAACTATGCCTCTTTGTTAGTTTATGGAATGGGGAAAACTATCAGTGCATAGGATTTGGAATCTAAACAAGTCTAAAAAATTTTCTACATTTAATAAGACTTATCTAAATATTGCCTGCAGTTAATCACTATTGTTCAAACTTAGGTGTAAAAATCTCAAAATAAGGAGTGTTTATTGCCTCAAAATACTTATACAACTTTCACTTTAAAAAATGTACTCTTAATAAAAATCTAGGAGCCGGGGATTTAGCTCAGTGGTGCCACCACCTGCCTAGCAAGCGCAAGGTCCCATGTTCAATCCCCGGTACCAAAAAAAAAAACCAATCTAGCCATAGTTACTTAACCATTTTGCCAACAATGGCTATGAAAACCATCATTTAAAAATTATTGTAAGCCAGGTGGGGTGGCACGTCTCTGTGATCCCAGCACTTGGGAGGCTGAGGCAGGAGGAACAGCACAAGTTAGAGGCCAGCCTGGGCTACTAGTAAGTTCAAGGCCAGCCTGACTACACACACTCTAACAAGTATAGCTTGGTGTCTCAAAAAAAGGAAAAGAAGAACTATTCTAGTAAGTTGAAATAATTGAAGTTGTTATGTATTAGGAAGACTTTTTAACCAGAAAATGAAGTCAAAATCAGTTGTTTGTTTGAAATAAATATATGATCTGAAGACTTAACCAGATTATTTAACATGTGGAGGATAAGTCTCAAAAATATGTGGTTTTAATCTTGGCATAGTGGCACATTCCTGTAATTCTCAACACTCTGGGAGGCTGAGGCAGAAGGATCATAAGTTTGAGTCTAGCCTGGGCAACTTAGTGACTTATAGAGACCTTGTCTCATTAAAAAAAAAAAAATTTACAAAGGGTTAAGGACATAGCTCAGTACAAAGGCCCAGGATTCAGTCCTCACTACCACAAAAAACAAAAGTAAAACAAAATGCAGTTTTAAACTAATTCATTAGATCCACTAATAATGATCATAGATGAATATGCCTTTCATATGAAAATATGAGAAAAATTAATACACTGCTTTGACATTTTGAGTACCTTTCTTCTATAATTAATCAAATTAATTATATCTAGGGCTGGGGATTTAACTCAGTGGTCCCGCTGCCTGCCTCACAAGTGCAAGGTCCCAAGTTCGATCCCCTGTACCAAAAAATAAACAAATTAATTATATCTAAACTAGAGAGAAAACACAAAGAATGAAAGACACATCTGCTTCCTGATTCGCCTGGATTGTTGAGTCAGGCTTGATTTGAAAAGTTTTGATATTAAAATCCTGCTAACCTCAGATGATGATGAAGTTACTGGATTTTTGCTGGCTTGGTTTTTTTTTGGTACTGTTGATAAAACCCAGAGCTGACCTATCATTGAACTACATCCCCAGCCCATTTTATTTTTTGAGACAGGGTCTCCTTAAGTTGCCTATGCAACTTGAATTTGCAATCCTCCTGCCTCAGCCTCTTAAATTGCTGGGATTATAGATGCTTGCCATGGTGCCCAGTTCAAGTTGCTTTATTTTTTTTTAATAAATAAATCAAGACTTGTCTCAAAACATTTATTTTTAAGAAAATTTATGATTAGAGAACAAGACGAGAATTTACACAGTATAAATTATATAAAAAATATAATTAGTTACTCTTTTTTTTTTTTTTTTAAAGACATAGTCTCACTGTGTAGTTCAGGTTGCCCTTGAACTCATGGGGATCCTCCTGCCTCAGCATCCTGAGTGCTGGGATTACAGGCATGCACCACCACACCTGGCTAGTTACTATATTCCACCACCACCCCCTCCCCACCACGGGGATCAAACTCAGGACCTTGCACTTGCCAGGCAGGCACAGCGCCTCTGAGCTACTTCCCAGGCCCTATTTACTATATTCTTAAACAATTTAAACAGAAATGAAATCTTATTTGCCCTATGTTGTAATCTTTTATAATTTATAAAAACTTACACACGATACAAAAGAGTCATTAACTCATGAATTAGTTTATAATAATGTACTTTTATGTAACTCTTGTAAAAATAAAACCTTTCACTGGGCATGGTGACGCACACCTGTGATCCCAGCACTCAAGAGGCTGAGGCAGGAGGATCTCCCTGAGTTTGAGGTCAGCCTAGGCTACCTAGTGAGTTCAAAGCCAGCCTGAACTACACAGCAAGACCCGATCTCAAAAAACCTGAAACAACAATGAAAATCAACCTTTTTTAGGGGGAGGAATGATCACTTGGAATTCGTGCTCATTGTAAAAGTTCTATAAATTACAGGAAAAAAGCAATGAAGTGAATAAAAACCACCAAGCCTTATCTTCTTGCATGTATCCTTCTATTCTTCCTGTAACTTTTCTTATTCCTCTACATAGAGCCATTCTTTTGATAAGAAAGCTATTTTGACTCCAGGCTTTTTATGTTATTCTTAAAAATTCTTTAACCAGATAAATGTTGTAACCGCCAATATTATAAAGGCAACTTGTATTTTTTTGTTTTGTTTTTAATATATACAAAGTTGGTTCAAAGACCAGGTAAATAGAATGGGAAGAAGCAAAGGTTATCCATGCATCTGTATGTGTACATGTATATGTATACACACATCCTCTCAGCTTTCTCCCAAATCCTGATTTACCCATGCCCCCTTCCACTGATCCTGCCCTACCCCAATCCAGAGAATATGATAAAATTTAAAAGTACATACACTTCATTTTCCATTCAAATCACTGGGAAAAGTCTTACTTGTCAGTATTCTTTCTTTAAAATCATTTGTAGTTATGCTAATGTATATGATATTTACAGCATTTAGCATTTGTGTGAAGCATTTATTCAAATAAATAAGCACTGAGGTATAAATCTTGGATGTTTTATGTTTAGAACAAATTCTGAATTTTCTAGTTCAGATATTCATCCTCATATTATTAGAAAAAAGTTAATTACATTTCGCCCCTTAAACCTCTTAATTTCGTGGGCCACCATTTAATTTTTCTTTCCGTAATCCCCCACTTGTCATGTTTAGTTCCAACAGTGTTTGCAGTTCATTTTCAATTGGCATATGCTTTCAAAATTCAGATTATAAAATAAAAACTATATATAATCTATAATCATAATAACTTTTCATGGATTTCTGTTTGGGTAAAGGGATAATCCCTTTACAGTTATCCAGGAACAGTAAGACCATCTGTTTTAGGTATGTTTTTACTCAAAAATAAAATATAGCAGTGACAATTTGTCTATATATCACATTTATAGAATAATAAAAGAGATTTGTTCCCTTTGAAATATGTAAATATGCTGTCTCACTGTGTGTTTGAGTTGCCCTTGTAAGCTTGATTTAAGTGAGTTTCTGTTGTTTGTGTGCCATTTAGCCAAAGGCAAGGAAAATAATTAAAACTATTTTAGTTCTTTGAGAATTTCTTGGTTCTGATTTATTAGAAATAGAGCTGGAAGAATCTTTGAGGAGCTGCTTTGTGGAATCTTACCCAGTCCCGTAAACCCAACCAAGTACAATTGACTTGGAGTTGGAGTTGATAGAAGAAAGAGAAGGGAGAAGAGCCAGGGATTTAGCTCAGTGGTTCTGGCGCCTGCCACGCAAGCACCAAGTCCCGAGTTCAATCTCCAGTACCAAAAAAAAGAACAACAAAAAAAAAGAAACAGAAGGGGGAAAGAAAACTCTAGACATTTATTTATGAAATATTTGTTACAAAAATAGTTGTAAAATTGTTCTTAATATCATATTTCTTACCCAGTTTCTGTAAGAAAAAGGTACATATTGCAATTTTCAGAGTCCTTTTGATACAAGCTGCCTTAAACTTCAGTCTAGTGTGTTTTGTCTTCTAGCACTATCAGTTATAACACTCTTAGGGCAGGGTTGGTGGCACTAGAAACACACTTAGGAGTTGTTTTCAAAGAGATGTTGTTTTGAAATGATGCAAATCCATCATGTCTTTTGAAAGGAAAAGAGAAATTTGTAATCACCAGATGAAGATAGTCAAAGCTCAGCCTTTCCCCTGATAGCAAGTTAAAGAAAACGGGTCTATTTGTCAGATAAAATTTTTTAAAATTTAGTAATTTAAAAAAAAAATCAGGAATAGGGGAATCACCCCATAATATTTTATGTTTTTGAAGCAAGGCCATTTATGTGTCAGCTAATAAGCAGTGCATTTGGAAGTGAACTTCTGCTTTTCTGTAGCCATTTATAAATATCCTTCCTGTACCATTTGTGTATTGGTGTTTCACGGTGACTCTGGTCACCTGGAGTTGTTCTCTCCCTTAAAAGATATGAACGGACAGCTGCAGATTACGGGGATAAAGATGTGTGAGATGAAGGCCTTTGGAGAATAACTGCTTTTCAGAGTACAAATTCTGGTCTGTGGCTTGGATTCTGAAGCAGTTCTTACTTACTGTCTCACCCATTGTCTTTATAAACCATCTGAAGTAGCCTACTACTTCTGTAGTTCATGAACCTTGTGTGCTCTTACTGTATTTGTTTAGGATTTTTCGCCTGAATCTACTTAGTATTAAGGCAGTAATAAAAATAGTAGAAATTTACACTTCACAGTCAAGGTCTCACAATATAAAAATTTAGCCTGATGTAGTGGCATACGCCTGTAATCCCAGCATTCTAGAAGACTGAGGCAGAAGGATTCCAAGTTCTAGACCATCGTTCATGACAGACCTAATCTCAGAATAAAAAAGGGCTGAGAATGTATATCAGTGCAAAAGCCCTGAGTTTAATCCCCAGCACTGGGGGATATATATGTATGTATCTATAGAAAAATTTAATTTGGTACCACCCACTGTCCCATTATTTGGAGGCGGCTATTATTGCCGTTCTGGAATTATCTCATAAAGGGCTGCATACAACCTGCACACTTTGCATAAATGGTTTCTCCTAGAGCTGCACAGCATGTGTGACCTGAGTCTTAGCAGTACACTGTACTGTCTGCTGTGTAGCAGGTACATTTCTAAGTGCCAGAGGCAACAATACAGAGTCCTTTTTTTTATTATTCTTCTTTAACACTACATCTGGTTGAAATGCAGAGAAAAAAGTGTTACTTTCAAGATAGAAAAGGAGGCCCGGAAAGGTTAAGTACCTTTCCTAGAGGCACAGTAATTCATTGGTACCAGAACAATATTTAAGAGTCCCAAATGACAGTTAATTTCCATGGTAGACTAGGAAATTGACATTTCCCTGAAATTCTTCTAAGCCCTACTTAACTCATATCCCTTTTAAGCCTTTATATTTTTCAAGGTCACAAATATGTGGAAAGTCTTTTCTGGGCACTTGCAAATAGTATGACCATTGAACATATGTAACTTCTACACTCTGTGGCCATTGTGAGCGCTGGGGACGCCACCGTGGTGCAAAGTGTTCTTCAGGGAAGGGGTGGATGTGGCAACTCCCTGTGCAGGTTTCTGAACCATGTACCTGCCTCATACCCAAGCTAGCAGCTCAGGGGCCAGATGAAGCAGAATTCTTCCTACATGGAATATACTGAACCTGTGTCAATTCAAGCAGCTGCTGCAGGGCAGGAAGATCCCTTGACCTTGTGGACATGCTGAATTAACAGTCCAGGGTGACGTCCAGTAAGGGGAGAGATGCAGGCGCACACGTCTCTTCCTCAGAGCAGCTTCTTAGCAATTATGCCACTCTTGGAGAATGGGTGATAGGATGCAGCTTTGTCCTGTGAATACATTTATTTAGCATTAAGACCCATAGTAAATGTCCTATTCTGTGTCTTGTAGTATTTAATAAGCGATTCCTTTTTTCTTTCCCTAATCCCTAGTTAGGTGGTTCTAAACATTTTTCAGATCAAGGGCTGCTTCAAAAATTTGAGAGCACTCTCTCCAAAAAAAATGCACACACTTGAAAAATTTTGCATGTAATTTGAAGAGGTTCAGGGCTGTAAGAAGCTGATCTATAGGCTGTGGATTTGGAGTGGATATCCCTTGTTGTAGACTTTCTTTAGTCACTGTGCTTGATAGTCTAAAGAAGTACTGTAATGTTTTAACCTGTAGATAGGTTTCACAGAGCATGTGTTCAATGTTCTTCCACCTTGATGAAAAATAAACACAGCATGCTTTAAATCAAAACATATACATATGTTATTTCTTGAAATTTTTATCAAAGCTTAATTTTGTTACAGTTCTCTAATACTTATTTTTCCCCTCTCATTTAAAGCTTGGTAAAATGCGGCTGACAATTCCATGCCGAGCCCTCACATGTTCTCATCTGCAGTGTTTTGATGCAACTCTTTATATTCAGATGAATGAGAAAAAACCAACCTGGGTCTGTCCTGTCTGTGATAAGAAGGCTCCATATGAACACCTTATTATTGATGGGTATGTCATTTTTAAGTTTCTCTTTGTACCTTCAAATGACCATCTTTATGTGCATTCCTTAACAGATTTGTAATAAAATTCTACTGGTAATGTTTTATAAGTTAAATGTGAATTTGGAGACTTCTCATGATTCTAGAAATCAGTTTTGGTTTTCATTTTCATTTTGGTACATAATGATTACATTCATCCAGGGGAATTGGGATATGTACGTAGCACATTTCAGTTCTTTTTTAGAAATCAGTATTTTCAAAGTTAGTAATTCAGGTTATACATATTTTTCTTTCTTTCTTTTTCTTTTTCTTTTTTCTTGGTACTGGGGATCAAACTCGGGATCTTGCACTTGCAAGGCAGGCAGTGGAACCCCACTGAGCTGAGTCCCTGGCCCTCATATTTTTCATTTTTAAATTGAGTCCCCTTCTTTTGAAAATGCATGCCTTACTTTCAATGCCTCTTGGCATTTACCATTTAACACATTCACAATGGGGCTGTAATTCATACATCTCACTGCCAGGTGGCTTTGTGTGGCTGTACCACTTCTACCACCAGTGATACAAGCTGTCCAATGGGGCAGTCATGTGTGGCTGTCCAGTGGGACAGTCATGTGTGTACCACCTGTGGTTCAAGTCATCAGGAACGTGATAAAGCGCAATATTTCTAAGCATTGTGTGAATACACCTTTTCCCAACATGAGTTCATTTATCTTCGGACATGCAGTTCATACTGGAGAATGCATGTAAGAATTGTGCAATTCTGATTAACTCAGACCTATCAAAAATTGAGCTTTGAGCGCAAGGACCCGAGTTCGATCCCCAGTACCAAAAAAAGAAAAGCAAAGAAAAATTGAGCCTTGGGGCCAGGGATTTAGCTCAGTGGTTCCACCGCCTGCCTTGCCAAGCCCAAGGTCCCGAGTTCAATCCCTGGTACCAAAAAAAAAAAAAAATTGAGCTTTGGGCAGGGGATTTAGCTCAGTGGCACTGCGCCTGCCTCGCAAGTGCAAGGTCCTAAGTTCAATTCCCAGTACTGGGGCAAAAAAAAAAAATATTGAGCTTTTCAGTAGCCTGTTCCTGAAGATTATATTGAGCTTTAATCATGGGCCATCATATCTAGTCTCCCCACTATAAGGGCTCCTAAAACTGATCAACACACCAAGTAACAGCTTCCTTTGGTTTTCTATTTGTATTTGTCTTTTTCTTTTTTTTGTTTTGTCCACCTGCTGCATCACAATAATCATTTATACTGGGTATGATGGCACATGCCTGTTATTCCTCTACTCGGGAGGCTGATCCAGGAGGATGGCAAATTCCATGCCAGCTGGGGAATTTAGCAAGACCCTGTCCCAAAAAATAAAGAAGGCTGGGATGTAGCTCAGTGGTAGAGTGCCCCTGAATTCAGACTCCAGTACTGCAATAAACAAATAAAAACCAGTAACCTTTTTTTTTTTTGGTACTGGAGATTGAACTTGGGTCCTTGTGCTTGTGCAGCAGGCGGTGAAACCACTGAGCTAAATCCCCTGCCCCAAAACTAGTAACCTTTAACACTCCTGAGTCATCTGGGGAACTTAGCAAGACCCTATTTTAAAACTGAAATTAATTAATTAAAAATAAATTTAAAAATAAAAAGTTGGAGTTAAAGCTCAGTGCTAAGGCCTTGGGTTCCACTTCAGTATGGGGAAGGTGGTAATATTTTACCAACTATATGTTATAGAGCTTTAGGTCCTCCCTTTCCTATAATAAATCAGGCCATAAGTACATACACATACTCTTTTAAAGAAAAAATTTAAAACACAGTAAATAAAAAACTTTTTTGGTGTATAGTTTTTTGGTTTTCTTTTGACACAATTGTTAGGTTAATAGTGTTGTTATAGTTAATTGTTCAATAATTCAGAAAAATTTCAATTTTTTGGTTTCATTTAACATCACTTAAGAATTTGACCATAATTAATTATATACATTCTTTATAAATAGCATTTTTTTAATGTCTGCATGATAATGTCATCAGGGAGACTTATATCCTTTTACACACACACACACACACACACACATATATATAGTTTCAGTTTATCAAATAAGATATATATTGTAGGCAATTTACAATGAGCAAAACATTACAAAGAAAAAAATAACACAAAGTCACCAAAAGATAACTGCCTTTTATATACCAGTCATACAGAATTTCATTTTTGAAATTTAGTTTTTTCTTTCCCCTGTCTCACATTTTTGTGAATATTTTTCCATGTTTAGAAATATTTGACAATGTCATTTTTCATGGTTATATACTTCCTTAAATAAATGTGCCAATATGTTCTTATTTAGCACTCAGTTTTGAGAGCAGATATAATTCACCTGTTCTGTTTTACTTTCCTCATTTATACTTGTAGAAAACATACAGGGTCTGAATATTTAAAAGGTAGTATTTTTTTTTTTTTTTTTTTTTTTTGGGTACTGGGGGATCGAACTTGGGTCCTTGCGCTTGTGCAGCAGGCAGCGAAACCACTGAGCTAAATCCCTGGCCCTAAAAGGTAGTATTAAAAAGTAGTTTATCTTCACTTAAAATGTGATATCCTAAGGACAAACTGTTTTTTGTAGCTTGTTTATGGAAATCCTAAAGTACTGTACAGACTGTGATGAAATACAGTTTAAGGAAGATGGCTCTTGGGCACCAATGCGATCAAAAAAGGAAGTACAGGAAGTTTCTGCCTCTTACAATGGAGTTGATGGTAAGTGAAAATTAAGTCATTTATGAAGTCATGCTAAGGAAACAATACCCTTTTAAATTTTAACAGATTTGGTACAGAGTAGCTATGCTCCTTTTTCAAATGTGTGTATATACGACATATGACTTTTGATGTGTTTTGGCTAGAAGGAGGGCAGGTTTTTAAAAATGTTAGTATTTCCTAAACATGTCAGATACTGTACAGATAAATATATTTGATACATGGTTTCTGCTCTCAAACTGCTTTTATTCTGAAGTGGACATAAAGCGTACATTTTGACTGTTTTCTAAAATAATCATTTAACAACCAATAATAAATAGTAGTTTTACATATAGTAGAACAGAACCACTATAGGTTTTCAGCTAATAGAGTAATTGAGGGAACATCGAGGAAAGAGTACTTTATTTGCCTTGTGTTTTAATCCTTCCCACACAGGATGCTTGAGTTCCACTTTGGAGCATCAGGTGGCTTCTCACAACCAGTCCTCCAGTAAAAACAAGAAAGTCGAGGTTATTGACCTAACCATAGACAGCTCATCTGATGAAGAGGAGGAAGAGCCATCTGCCAAGAGAACCTGTCCTTCCCTTTCTCCCACCTCACCACTAAACAATAAAGGGTGAGTGCTGAGACACACCTCCCCCGGTAAAAATTGGAAAATTAATTTGGTAAATAGGGAATAAAGACCTGCCTGATAAAATGATGTTTAATTGTATTTTTCCCAAGTGTGTGATATTCTTCAGAGCTTGGAGTAGTGCATTAACATTAAAAGGGCCACTTACATACAATATTAACTATCAAAAGATGATTCTAGTACACAGAGTAGTTTTCAAACTATGGTGTACATCAGAATTACTGAGAGCTTATTGAAGTACATGTTGCTCCTCTGTCCTAAGCCAGAAGTAGAGACATAGAAAACTTGAATTTCTAGAAAGTTCCCTGGTGATTCTTATGCTGTGCATTGGATTTAGAACATTTGCTAAAAACTAGAAAATATGCTTTAAGATTAACCTCAAGCTCAGTGTTTCTAGTGGAAAGCTGAGGGAGACCAAATAATTCAGACCTGCCCCCAGGATATGTATAAGGTTGGAAGTCATAGATAACTTGCATTACAGTACATAAATTTTCCATTTTGCAGACTTATTTGCCATATTTTCCATTAGTCTCATATCAGTATTAATGTAGTACCTTGGTTATGCTTCAGTTCATAAAATGCTGTTACATACTTTGTGTGGAATACCCTTTTATACGGGTGTGGCAGTGCATGCCTGTGATCCCATGTATTCAGGGATCTTGAGTCAAAGGGAAAAAGGAAAAGAAAAGAAAAACTAGCCTAAGCATGGATGTAGTAAAATGAGTACGTACAGCCCTAACCATAGAGTGTAACACTTTGTAGGGGGTGGTAAATCTAGTAGCACAACTCCAGCTGTACTCCTTTTAGGAGACTGTTAACCCATAAACATATCAGTGTTTCTCAGCAAAAAGATTTTATTTTTTTTGCAAGTGCATAATGTAGCACACTAATAGTGAATCTAGAAATAAATGTGCTGCTTTTGCTGAGTGTGGTGGTACACACCTGTAATCTTAGCACTAAGAGGCTGAGGCAGGATGAGAGAGTTCAAGGCCTGCTTGAGCTACAAAGCAAGACCCTTCCTCAGGAACCCCCCCCCCGATTAAATAAGTGTGTTTATCAAGAATCACGTGGCCTTTTGTAACTGAATAGGAGCTATTCAAAAAACCTTCCAACAAGCAGCACCAGAGACAGAATAAAGATGAGAGGGAAAGTCTATAGGTGGCATTGTTAAAATTTTCAAGGTTTTAGAGGGAAAGTTGACACCAGACCAAGAAGAGCAAGTATTTCTGTACTCTGAGTCCAGTCACTTTTAGAGTTGGTATTGCATGATGAGACAAAAAGATTTTGATTGAACATATTGTACAGTTTGATAACTTCATTTCAGAGTAGCTCATCTCAGCATACAGGCAGCCAGATAGGAAACTTTAAGAGCGGTGTCATTATTCTAAATACAGAAACATAACATGAATATTAAACAGTAATCTTGCTCTGTGAACATTTCTCAGAAAAGCTTGCCTTGATGGCTGTTACTCAGCAAGACTGATCTTATGTCCTGAGTAGAACAAAAATCTGAGTAGGACAAAAAGAAAAGTCAGATTACCTGAAACTGGCATAGTTAGAGCAAGTATCTATAGAATTTTAGTTCCAAGATTTTTTTTTTTTCAGTTCTGAGGATTGAACCCAGGGGCTTGTGCATGCTAGGCAAGCACTCTGCCTCTGTGTAGTATCCCCAGCCTGAAGATATTTATAAATAATCGTTAATCCAGTATGACCAAATACATAGCTGACCCTCTGTATCCATGGTTTCAACCAACCTCAGATTGAAATTTTTCAGGAAAAAAAAAATGTGACTGTGCCAAACACGTATGGACTTTTCTTTCCTGTTGTCATTCCCTAAACAGTATGATATTACAACAGTTCATATAGCATGTACGAAGTATTAGATATAAGGAATCTAGACATGATCTTATGGATATGAGAAGATGTGTTTAGGCTATTTGGAAATGCTGTGACTTTTTTTGGTACCCGGGATCGAACTCGGGACCTTGCGCTTCCGAGGCAAGGGGCGGAACCACTGAGCTAAATCCCCAGCCCTACTGTGACATTTTATTTAAGGAACTTGATCATCCTTGGAGTTTGGAATGTGCAAGTTTTTGTTAGTGCCATAATTGCACCATTAAAATGTTTCATAAAACTAGGTATATAAATAGTTTTGGTTTAAATCTAGCATTATGTTGTACTCTTTAGAATATTAATAATAGTCATTTGTATACATGTAAGCTATGAAATAGTTTTACTGACTATATATTTTTTCCTTAAGAAAAATTTTAAAGTCTTTGGAAATCTCACATCTCTTCTTTGGATATTTACTTTTCTGTTTCTCCAAAAATAGCTGTTTATTATGTTTGGAAAATTACATTAGATACATTAACTACTTCCTCAGTTTCCTAGAGACTAATTGATTCCAGACATAGCATCACAAATGTCAGACTTTTATCTCTATTTTCAGATAAAAACAAGAGACCTAAAAGTTTACAACATCTTTAGAAGGAAAATAACACCACAGTCAACACTAATAGCCATTTTACAGTAATGATTAGCCAATAACTAGAAACTTAAAGAGAGTGTATTGTTTGTTATTGTGAAGTGTAGAAGTAAAAATGCATTTTAAAATAGTATGACAAACCTGAAAGAAAAGCACCCATCTAGGAATTAGGAGGAGGCAAATATCACTAAAATGTAAAACATTTTATTGTCTTCAGTAGTTTTTATAGAAATTTCCCATACTGTGTGGTATGCTGAGATATTTTCAAGACTGGCATTTCAGCAGCTTTCTTCTCTTATATAGTCCCTCAGGCATTGAAGGAGGACACAGCTAATGGAACATCGTGCTTTTTATAGATGTAAAAGGTTTAAGTTTCCATTTGATGAAACTCTATTAGGCAGATGAGAGTGTTTATGCTTCATAGCCCATTCATAAAGATAAGGTAGATTGTCATAACTAGAACTCTGTTCCTGGAAATCCAGCCTTGGCAGCTTTTGAAATATTTTGTATCATTGAAATTACATCCCCACACTCCCAAGTGCTTTACACGAAGTATTGAGAGATAGAGTTGCTTTATTTCTTCATTTCTCTTTATTTTTTATAGCTTCCTTAACTGTTAGTCTGTTATGGTTTGCCTAACATGTAACCCTTGTCTGCCTGCCTGCTTTTCTTTTTTTCTTTTCTTTTCTTTCTTGGGGCTGGGTTGATTGGTTTTCTTGTTTGATTTGATTTAGTGGGGTTTTTGGTTTTTGTTTTGGTACTGGGGACCTTGCGCTTGCAAGGCAGGCTGAGGCACCACTGAGCTAAATTCCCAGCTCTTGATTTGGTTTTTTGGAAACAAGATCTCTTGAACTCACTGTGTAGACCGGGCTGGCTTAGAATTTGCAGGGATCTGAGTGCTGGGATTATAAGTGTGTGCCGTCACACCCAGTTTAACCTTTATGTTTCTTAATTTTTGGTAAAGAAAAAAAAATTTTTTACCTCCCAGTTATTTAAATATTTCACTGTTTTTGTAAAGTCCTTCAGTTTTTCTTTTTCTAGTTAAACTATTCTCCTTTAAAAACTCTTCACCTATACATTTTGGAGCATTTCTTTTGTGTTATCTTGCTGGCTTCAGCAAGGTTTCTGTGGACACAATGTGCTAATGACTGTACTGGGCATCGGGTACACCAAGATAAACCACTCAGTTTTTATTCTCATCAGTTTTATGAGTCTGGAGGCCAGCTGTTCACTTCTGACTGCTTAGAGTGTTGCATTCTCTACCCTTGTCTGTGTGTTTTTCTTTGCTGGGGCATACTCACCTTTCTCACTAGCCAGCCCTCCAGTGCCTAGTGTGAGAAGCTTTCAGAATGTTCTCTGTTGTAGATGCCTTCCACTCACATCCTGTTGCAGTGGTTCAGAGGTTCCTTTCCCCTGCATTCTGAGAGTATAGGTGATGCTGTTCCAAAGATAATGTTGGCTTGTGAATGCTGGACACCATCATATCCATCCACTTCTCCCTGCAGCCTCTGCAAAATGCTGTTTGATATACAAATTATTTCTTTATTTAGTTTTTTGAGACAGGGTCTTCTTGTGTAGTTTAGACTGGCCTTGAACTCACTGTGTAACCCTGGCTAGCCTCAAACTCTAAGCAATCATCCTGCCTCAGCCTCCTGAGTGCTGAGATTACAGGTGTGCGCCACCATGCCTGCCATACTAATTATTTCTTAATAATTACAGATAGTCTAAATTAAATGTCATTATGCCTGTTTTTGTTTTGTTTTTATTTCCAGCATAAAAACCAGGGGTTATTCTGAGAGGCAACCCCTTTGTTAAACTTAAAAATTAAACTGACTCATGAAAATTATTCTTACAGCATTTTAAGTCTTCCACACCAAGCATCTCCAGTATCCCGCACCCCAAGCCTTCCTGCTGTAGACACGAGCTACATCAACACCTCTCTCATCCAAGACTACAGGCATCCTTTCCACATGACACCCATGCCTTATGACTTACAAGGTGAGTCACAGTTCTCTGTATTGTCAAGTTGTATTGTGGGTGCCTATGATCTCTGCAGTCCTCTTGGGAGAACAGCCCTTGGACCCATGGAATTGAGAGAAATTATATTTTGGTCATAAAAACTGATGCAATTCCTTGATTGTGCCTTCACCGATAGCCAGTGTTTGTTGCCAGTGGTAAAAGTAGTGCAGTAATCTTACAAGTTTTGTAAGCCTTGAAGTATTCTGCATGTTGTGTTTGGATGGTTTCCAATGTTTGGCTTTGAATTTTTTTTTTTTTGTACTGGGGATCAAACTCGGATCCTTGTGCTTTCGAGGCAGGCAGTGGAACCACTGAGCTAAATCCCCAGCCCTCAGCTTTAAATTTTGATATTTATGAATTATTTTTGTTCCTGAATTCTAGTGGTAACTGCAGCAAGCACTGTGGGTAACCATGCTGCACTGTCTTTTAGATAATGCTGAATTGAGGCATTTGAAAGTTTTAATTTTGGTTCTACTGAGCCTGATCCTTCTTAAAAGTAATTTGAAATGTCAGTTTACCCACTTGTATATTTTGCGTTCATAATAATCATTTCCATTATCAAAAAGAATTATTAGTCATTCTCATATATCTTTGTAATTTAATAATTTACACATTACCCATATAACTCAAGAACATTTTTATTACGAAGTCATATACATCCTTTGTAGAAAATTCCATACAAAAACACAAAATGAAAGTTTCATTCCACCCTCCCCCAAGCCTTCTGTCCAAAAGCTATAGCTCCTCTTAGCAGTCGCTGAGTAGCTTCCATGCCTTTTCCGTATATGTGAAACGTCACTGTACTGTCAGGGAGCACGGTGCTGTATGGTTTGTAGGCCTTTGTGCTTTCATCTGTTCCAGTATAAGGCAGTGGATGAGTCCCTAGCATATATGCAGTGTTGTGGTGTTTTTATCTGCATCTGCTTGTTGCATTTTTCAGCCAGTTAGATACCGTGATGAACATGCCATTCATGTGGGTCTATTCACTCTTCATCACATTACCCATGAGGTGTGATAGAGAGCAGATGGGGAACGGGAAGGGTCTGCTTTGCAGTCACTTGCACAGCTGGGTGTCGGGGCCGGTGCTTGTGTAAGTTCTCAGCGCTTTTCTCTTCATGCCACTGCAGATACTGAGTTAAGATCTGACACAGAGGGTGGTAAGTAAGCAAATTTGAGAAAGAGAAAATCTTTGCTACAACTTGTTTAACCTCTTTTTAACTTCAAACTTTCTCATCTGTAAAATCAGGCCAAAAATAATCACATGCAGTACTTTATAAGGTGCTTGTGGAAAGTAAATTGGAGTACGTTGAAAGGTCACTTAGGAGAGCCGATGAGAGCCCTGTCAGTGTGAGATGCAGCAGGTGGCAGTGGCCCATGTCCCTTGACTGAAGTCATGGGGAGGGCAGATCCTGCTGGCTTTGAGACTTTAAGCTTAACTTCATGAAATTCTACACGACATAGGATTTAAGTCTTATATTTGTTTTTGAAGTATTGAGCATTTGGGGAGGGTTGTTTTTGTTTTGTTTTTGCTTTAATTTTTCTTAAACTAATACAATTTTTCTCCCACAGGATTAGATTTCTTTCCATTCTTGTCAGGAGACAATCAGGTATGTTATGAACAAATTACTATTGTTTTAATTGTATATTTAGAATGTTTAAAACAGTAATATGTAGCCAGGAAAAAGAGTTAAGTTTCCTTGGAAAGTACCGAATGAACATACTCATTATTGCTCTGGCTTTAAGAATTTAAATAAAAATCTCCATAGTTATAGCAGGATTCTTGGCCAAATACAGACATGCACCACATAATGACATGTAGATCGAGAATAGATCACATATATAACAGTGGTCTCATAAGATCATACTGCAGCTGAAAAATTTCTGTCTCCTTTTGACACTATAGCCTTTGTAACATCATAGCACAACACATTGCTCACATGTTTATGGCGGTGCTGGTATAAATGAACCTGTTGTGCATCCAGTGGTGTAAAAGCTCCTACAATTCTATATAGTCCACAATCTTTGATAATAGATGAGTATGCTAAATTTTACTACGAAACGGTCTGCCATGTTACACAGCAGCTCATACATCTTGTGTTTACTGCATCTCTTGATTGCATTATTTCCCTTTGTGTTTGATTTAATTTCATGTTGTTGTGTTCATCATGACCCTTAAGCATACAAAATGTACTGCTAATATTGCCAGTGAGAGGCCATATCACCTGGAAATGAAATCCAGTGAGGAGGGGGCTAGGAGATGTTGCTCAGTGGTAGAGCACTTGCCTAGCATGCACCAACCCCTGGGTTTGATCACCAGAACCAAAAATAGAAACACTGAGGACTGTGGTGATGAAACATTAGTGATTCTTAGTTATTGCTGGCTTGGGCATGTCCCATTCCATCTTAGCTGCTAACTTGAAAAGCAAGAATAAAATGACAACCTGAGTTTGATCCCTGGTACCGAAAAAAAAAAAAAAAGAAAGAAAGAGTAAAATGACAGAAGCTATCTGCTTCATTGAAGACAGCGAGACTAACAAAAACTCAAGAAGGGTCTGAATCAGACATGGAACATCTGAAGACCTGGATTAAAGTTCAAACACAGAAGTACATCCCTCATAGCACCATAAAGATCACCACCAAAACAAAAAGGTTGTTGTCAAGGTTGAAAGAAAAGGCTGGGCCCCACTACAATGTTGCATTCACTGCTAGCTCCCTCTGGGTAGCTTACCTCGTTCCTGCTGGCTTGAACCACCAGTGGCACATGCATGACTGTCCTACTTGTTACCACCATAGGACAGTCATGCATGTGCCACTGGTGGTTCAAGCCGCCCAACAGCCCCAATGTGAACATGTTAAGGACTGGATAACAGTCTTGCTCAGAAGCGGCGTTGCAGGCAGCAAATACAAACTCTTTGTGTGGTGTGGCAGAGCGAGGACTCCAGGTCTTCAAGCATCTCTGTGAGCATACATGGCCAGTGCACTACGGGAGCTATAAAAAGTCAAGTGTGACTCAGCTCCCTTCCAAGATACTCTTCTGAATTTCAGAGCCATCAAATGAAGCACTGTTCAAAGAATAACCTATCTTCTGAGATTTTGCTTATTGTTGATCCTGCACATCCTCCTTTTATTGATCATCTTCCTCCCAGTATCAGAGTGGTGTTTCTCTCTCCAAATACCACCTCTTTGATCCAACCTCAAGAGTTTTTTTTTTTTTTTTTGGTACCGGCGATCAAACTAGGGACCTTGAGCTTGCAAGACAGGCTGAGGCACCACTGAGCTAAATCCCCGGCTAGATCGAGCATTAATAGCAGCTTTTAAGACTTACCACTTGAGGACAAGCTTCGCCCAGGCTAATGCTGCAACTGAGGAAGACAGTTGTGGAAGGATTACATTTACGACTGCATCAAGAACCTCACTTAGGAGCTGGGCCTGTAGCTCAGTAGTAGTGTGCTAATGACTGTGAACTCCCAAGTTCAGTCCCCAGCACCACCAAAAAAAAGAAGCCCCTTAGGCTTGGACTGAAGCCACCAAGGAGTGTGTGAGTGGCTTCTGGAAGAAGACGCTCTGGGCTTGTCCTGATTTCAGAGATCTGGCACAGATGCAGAGGTTGTAAAAACCAACAAGGCTGTGGTTGATCGGTGGCAAACCTTGCTAGCCTGGTTGTGGGTGGGGATGACATTGGGGAGCTCCTATACGTGAAGCCTTAGGAAGTGACAAATCACGAGTCTGAAATTGGACCAGAAACACACTGCTGAAAAGAGCCAAGGAAAGTGGAAACTGCAGGGAAAGAAAAAGAAGAAAATCCATAGTGAAGCTTCTTGGGGTCCTCTACAAGATCTTTAAGAAGTTTTCAAACATCAGTCCCAACATCAAAAGTTCATTCATAGAGAGGAATGTTGTGGCACATTATCTGCTTATAAGCAGATCTGTGATGAACAAAGGAAACACTAAGAAGAGCATCAGGGTCATAATTCTGAAGAGCATCACCTGGTCAGGAGGAGCCACAGGCAGGAAGGAGCCACAGGAGGACACTGGTAATCCAGGGAGATGCAGTGCAGCAGTGTGCCGTGCAGCTCCATAGCCTACAAGTAGGAAGCTGTGTGCCTAGGTGTATATAAGCTCTCTCTGTGGTGTTCACACAACAAAAGAGTCGCTGAACAGTCCTCAGACCCCATCTGTATCGTTGTGCAACGCAGGACTGTCTCAAGAACAAGCAGGTGGACTGTCCTCTGTCCTGATACTTCTAAGCATATTGGAAATAAAATCTTGAGAATTGTTTTCAGTACAAATTAAAGCAAAACACAATTTCAAAAATTCCAGTTTCAGGTATGAAAATGTCTGTCAAGATCGGTAATCCAGCCGTTAACCCTAGGCCATTTAATTTTGCAAAATGTCTCTTTAATTTCAGCAACAAGATATACTCAGTGTGTATTAAATTTAGGACTTCAAACTGTCAAGAAGAAAATGTGTTCCTTTGTGCGCGTAACAAGCTGCCTTGTCCTTGTTTCCTCCTCAGCATTACAACACCTCCCTCCTCGCTGCCGCAGCCGCCGCAGTCTCCGATGACCAGGACCTGCTGCACTCATCGCGCTTTTTTCCATATACCTCCTCCCAGATGTTCCTCGACCAGCTGAGTGCAGGAGGCAGCACGTCCCTGCCAGCCACCAATGGGAGCAGCAGTGGCAGCAACAGCAGCCTTGTGTCTTCCAACAGCCTGAGGGAGAGCCACAGCCACACAGTGGCCAGCAGGAGCAGCACAGACGCGGCATCCGTCTTCGGCATCATACCGGACATTATCTCCCTGGACTGAGCCCTCACCCACTGATCCTGCCCTGTCCTGAGGGATTCAGCTGGGCAGGAAGAAGAGAACTTTATGCTGTTTTACCTTATTCTGTCTAGAAAAGTTCACAAGCGTGGTTTTTTTTCCTTTTTTAAGGGAAAAAATTAAAAGAAATGTACAGAGAACAAAACTATATTTTCAGTTTTACTTTTGTATATAAATTTAAGACTGCCTGTCTGATAAAATACTTGTTTAAAAAAAAGAAAGAAAAGAAAAAACAAGCACCCACAAACCACCTTCAGTTCATTTTTTTCTGGATTCTGAAGATGTTTTCATTTGTCCTATGGTTTTGGTTTTATTTTACTTCAATGGCATTATTTTATTTGCAATAACAAAAGGAATTGCATGTATGAAGTTTTAAATTTTGGGCTTTGTTGTGGGGAGGGGGTAGGGAGATAGTTTGATTTCCATTTTTTAAAAATGACAGACTTGCATTTTGTTTGTTTGGGCGTGTGTGTGCATATTTTATCCAGCCTTAAATTATAAATCTTGTCTGTCCCAATGCATTCCCTATGTATTTTCAGGACATAGCTCATGGGTATGCGTGTTCAGTGTGTGTGTCTATATGTATTTTTCTGTCCTCTCCTCCTGAGTTTGCATTCAGTTCATCTATCAGCTGCCTGCTTTTTTTAAAGTGCTTTGAAGGTCTTGAACTTACATGTGAGTATCTAACAACTACCCCAGTTGCATGTCTCCATTACATATTCTCTCTGACTTGCTATGTACCCCCTGAGAATATGCTTTCAGGATATTGGAATAATGCTGTCTGGGTAAGGAGTAGGCCTAACAGACCTGTGAATACACTTTAGCCTAGTTCTTGATTCTAAACCTAGATTGCCAGTATTGTGTATTTAAACCAAGTCTGTGAATATCTGCTTTTTTGGCCACAAGGTAACAAGTTTTCATGTAAGATCTCATGCCAGAGTAGGAAGCCAAAATAGCCTAGAAAGCCCTGTTGGGTGTCTTGTGCAGCTGACAGAGGAAGGATTATGTCACAAAGTAAGAGATGAGTCATTTATCCTAAAAGTCAATTCTTTTTGGAAATACAGTGCACCACACATGTGGATCTATCGAAATCTATTATTTGATAATCAGTTGAAACTTAAAATCAGTTTAAACCTCAGCCATTTTCTGTGGTTCTTAATTTCTTAGACGATCTACCTTGTTTATTTTTTCTTCATCTTTTAATGACAAGCATGACATAGGAAAGTCAAGTTTTTTAAAATTCATGGATCAGTCTGATATACTTTTTTTTTGTTGTTACCGGGGATCGAACTCGGGTCCTTACGCTTGCGCAGCAGGCGGTGAAACCACTGAGCTAAATCCCCGGCCCAGTCTGATATACTCTTAATAGTGGAACATGTAAATATATTGAAAACTGTTTTTCAGGAAATAAGGGTTGAAGGGAAGGAAAAGTGCTTCTACTTGTGTTCCAGAAACCTCATCAGAGATGATATTACATTCTCAGTTGTGGAAAATATATTTCAGTTAATTGAGAGTACAGGTTTAAGAAAAGATAAAGAAGGGGCATAATTGATTGCCAGTTTTCTAGGTTGGATATTTTTCTGTCAAAATTGTTAATATTCTCAGAGTTGATGAAGGACCACCTTTGTGTATAAACTTGTCATTTTAAACTGTCTTGTTAACAAAATGACCTACTTTAATCCGGGTAGAATTTAAAATGGCTATATCTTCGGTTGTATGATAAAATTAATGGTTCACATGACTGTGTGGCATCTAAAAATAATATCTTTTTACAGCAATCTCTGTTACTAAATTGTTGACTTGAATTTTGAAAAAAAGTTGGTGTTGATGTATATATGTGTGTGTGTATATATGTATTTATAAACAAGAGTGTGTGGGTAACAAGTGCATTACATAGTCTTCCCCTATGCATGTGTATTCCACACATCAATGGCCAAGTTATAGTCACAAAACAATTTGCAATAAAAAAACCAGCTTCACTGTCAGTTAAAACAGGAAATAGTTAAGTTTTTAAATGAATCTGGTGTGGTGGTGTGTAAACACTTCAAGAACTCTTATTGCCATACTAATTTAGGCTAGTTTCAAATAGTATCATAATTTGTGTCTAAATTTGGACTGGGATAGAAATTACTAAAATTGTGGAGTGTTTTTTTTCTGATTTTATATTGCGATAGGAAACTTCTATTCAACTACCTAAGGTAAAATGATAGTTTTCTCCCCTTTTTTTGGTTTTGTTTTTGTTTTCTGTCATTGTTGGTGGTCTGAAAATTCTGATTAACAACCTTATGTATGATGCTGAATTAGCAGCTCTTTGAATGATCCAGTTGAAAACCCGTAACTTTATTTCCTTCAGCCCAGTTCTGGGGTGGGGCAGCTTAATCTTGTGTCCGTGTCCTGCATTATACCAACCTAAGGGAAGAATCAGTAATAGGAAGAAATCAGTGGCTGTGGTCATGACCCCACAGAGACCTACCCATTCAGTCATCCTTTGATTTGAGTTCACTCATTCTGTGAGGAGTTCCTCCCTTCAGTTGTTGATTTTCTAAAATGTGTGAGTTAATAGTTATCCCTGTGTTGGTATCGTGGTCCATAAGAGTTACTCAGACTTTCATGATCTGTCATAATTTTCAGTAGAGTCACATACTACATCTTTATCTAAAGTTTTTAAAAAAAACAGCATGTAGTCACTTTCTCTCTTTTCTTCCTTAGCCCACCCTCACTCCCCAGCCCAGGCCGACATTGCTGTGCTCTCTGTGGACAAAGAGCGATTCTCAGACTCTAGGCAAGTTGCCAGCAGCCCCATGGCCTTGGTCTTTCATGATAGTGTGCATATGTTCGTATTTCTGTATAGTACTACTGTGTGTGTGTGTGTGTATGTGCGTGTGTGTATGTATATGCACACAAAAGTCAGCTGACTAGCAGGGTTGACATGGCTTTGATTCCTATGTGGGCATTATTGGACACCTTTTTAAAAATATAGTCTGAAATTTAACCATGCCACACTTGGTTGACTAGTTTATTATGAGCATTAAAGTTTTCTATTAATTTAGACTGTCATAATTCCACATCATTACTAACTTAAGATTTACTTAAGTTTCTGAAAAATGTTCTTTTAGTAGAGTTTCCTTTGAGACAAGTGTGTGAAGTTGACAATATATTCCAGTTGTAAATTAATAAGTGTGGAATGAACATTGTTTTGAAACAATTTCAATTTTAAATACATAAAACTTACAGGATCTTCAAGACTTTTGAAAGCACATTTGAATTTATTTTAGTAATAATTTAGTTTTATCAATATATGTTGAATTTTTTTTAATTAAACACAATGCTTAGATTTCAGAAAGAGGAAGGGAGAATAGCTGGTGGTCCCAGAGTGTGCTGCTGTTGTTTAATTAACAAGGGGGAAAATGTATATGTAAATAGATATAAAACTTAACCATAAATTCCATGAACTTAAATCTGTGATTCATTGCCTTAAAACTTTCTCTTAGAATTTCCATACCGCATGCCAAACCAGTAAACTGGCTTTTAAAAATGTATAGTAGACCAATGTCAGTTTGTATAAAAGTTACCAAGTGAAAATATTTATTACATGCATTGGAAAAAATTGTTTACTTATTGAATGTTACCTGTTTATGTAGAGCTCTTTAGATGTAATAAAAGAAAAGCCTTCAGTTAATTTGTCTTCTGTAAAACAGTACTGCTGGGGACCCAGGGGGACAGTCCCTATGAGAAGGGTGGTAATGCTCTGTGCGTCCAAAGCCCCTTTCAATCATAGATTTCAAAGCATGACAAGTACCTAATACTCTTGTGCATGCTTTGAGGTAAGTGATTCATATATGCCCATCATTCCCTTTCTTGTTGAAATATGACTAGCTCTGTAATAAACCACAGCTTCTGTTTCACTTTCAATCTGTTGAATATCTGCAGTTTGCTAAGAGCACTGTGGCTTATTTTTGTAAACAGCACAAGGTGTTAGGTAAACCAATTGGAATTTCAGGAATGAGCATGAAACTAGGACAAGAGGAGCTAAAAGCCTCTCCTGGGGTCCTGGGACCTCAGCTCACCACCACTATGAGTTGGTGAAGAGGAGCCCAGGTCCTAATGACCATCCCACACTGTGTGTGCTTAGCAAGCTCAACTTCAGGTCCCCACTGGGCATGTGACATCCATAAAACTTGCTTTAAAAATCATACCTGGGCCAAAAAAAAAAAAAAATACTTGGGCCAGTCAGATAAATGTAGACTTTTTTTTTTTTTGGGTACCAGGGATCGAACTCAGGACCTTGCGCTTGCAAGGCAGGCGGTGGCACCACTGAGCTAAATCCCGGACCCCTAAATATAGACATATTAAATAAAGAATTGAGGGGAAGTACTGTCATTTATTACTATACCCAGAGCTTCCTTTTCTTGTCCTGTCTACATTGTCAGAATCTGTCACCTGTGTGGTCTTTGGTATTCCAGGTTGGCTGTGCAAGATTTGCTTCTCATTGTCCGTGACTGGAGTCTGAGGTGTGGGTCGGGGACCCTTGCCTGCCAGTGAAATCCAGCAGCCCTCAGGGAAGGCCCAGGTCTCGAGCCCTCAGCTGGATTCCCATGAAGGTAATGAAGATTAAGTATCACTACCCTCACTTGCTCTGGCCTCTTCAGGGTTCTGAGAGCAGCCCCAGACATTCTGTATTTCTTCCATTTTTTGGTTTTGTTTTTTGAGACAGGGTCTTGCTATACAGTTCAGGCTGGCCTTGAACTCAGAGTGATCCTCCTGCCTCAGCCTCCTGAGTGCTGGAATTACAGGCATGTGCCATCACATCTGGCTCTATTTTCATATTCTTTTTTTTTTTGTGGTACCAGGGATTGAACTTCGGTCCTTGTGCTTGTGCAGCAGGCCGTGAAACCACTAAGCTAAATCGCCGGCCCTCTTTTCATATTCTTAAAGAAAGCTGCCAAGTTGTTTAAGCCTCAGATTCTATAAAACCTGGATCTGCCTCTCCACCTTCTAGACACAGGTCCCCAACTAGATGATCATAACTTCACATGGTTGATGTTCACTGCTGACCCCCAAAACCCTTCTCTACAGCTCTTGGGAATCCCTGCTTACCCATTGGCAATAGCGCTGCTGGCAGGGCTCTAGATTCCTTTCTGAGGACCTCAGTTAGATCCAAAGCCACACAGCAGAGTTGCACTGACTTATGTTTGATTCCTACATTGTTTGCAATACCTAGCCTTAGATCTGTGTCTTGCATAACCTCCCAAAGGACAGCCTCTCTTCTTGATTGGCTTCTCTTTAGCCATGAAGGCACCATTAGAACTACAGTCCGATGTTGACACTTAAAAGGATGAAAATCCTTGGAGTTGGAGCTTGCACCCACCCTCACTGGTGTGCCTGCAGCAAGTCCACATCTGACCAGCACCAGGCACCTCTAAACCCCAGGCAGCACAGCTGGTTCCTCCTGGTGTGTAACGAGCCACTTGAGGCGGGGAGATTCCCGGGGCAGCTGGGTTTCCGCTACTGTTTTCCGGGCCCCTTGTATGCTGGGTGTGTCCTGTTACCTACCCTTGTTTCTCCATCAATCATAGAGAAGTAATTTATGGTCATGCCCAGCCCTGGTTACCTGAGCAGACCATCCTAGTTCCTGGGACCTCTACCTGTTAACAGCCCAGCACATGGCTCAGGATTCTGAGAGGAACATCAGAAAGGCCCAGGATCCTGTGTTGGTGCAAGGCATAAAGTCACTCTTCTCTCTGCTCAGCTGCTGCAAAGTTCATCCTAACATGAGCATCTTCACTCCCATATGGTTTAGGAATGTGTATCCTGAACTGCGTCCTTCTTCTGTTGAGATGGAAATGAGAATTTTTGTGTGGGCCTGTGGTACTGCAGGCTGTGTCACAATAACGTGTTTTCAGTCTCTGGTTTTTGCTGGTTCTCAGCTAGCACTAGCTTTGTCTGGGAAATGCAAAGGTGGTTCCAAATCCCCAGCATGCTGCTCTGGGTGATGGCACTGCCCTGACTAGGAGGAGCACCGGCATTGGAACTGGGATTCCACATGCTCTGCTGGGTGCCAGGGTATTTTCAAGTCGCCACCTCCATCCTTTTCAGTGGGCTCCAAGAGTGTAGCCATAGGAACCCAGCTTTTGTGAGGACCCTCAGGCTTTGGGGGTGAAATGATCTGCCCAAGTCACACAGCTCGGAAGTGGCAGAGCCAGGACTGCATGGAACTTGGGCTGGGCTCCAGACTGCAGGTCCTTTCCACACAAAAGTCGAGACTTATGGCAGTTACGAAGATCAATGCAAATCTTTTATTAAAGACATGCTAACACCACAACTGAAATCATTTATTGCCAGTTATCCTCTGCTCCCAGAGGGTAATGTCATCTTGTTGCTGTTTTTCATCTCCCTAAAGTAAAAAGAATACTTCCCTTTTTAAAAATTAATCAGTCTAGGTTTTCAGGCCCAGGGAGACAGACGCCTTTGCACACTCCATGTTCAGTAGTCTTGCACAGGAAGAGTGATCTTCTGGATAAACTCATCATACTTCACTTGGCCACTTGGCTCAATATCTGCTTCTTTGAAAAGTTCGTCCACTGCAATAAATCATTTTAAGCTTTCAGTTTGGATTTGGGGTTATAAGACACGGAATTCTTTAGGGGTTGGTGCTCCCTGGGGGGTCTTCCCTGAGCATTCAACAGACAGTTCCTGTAGATCAGGAAGTAAACCGGACAGCAGGACAGCCTGACCCCTGGAGACCACCAGCTCAATTTTTGGACTCTTTGGGGACAGTGGTGGCATAGGGCAGTGTAACTGCTGATTCCATCACTGGAGCCTCCCTGTGCTTTCTGTTTTTGTTGTTGTTTTTGCTACTGGCAATCGAACTCTGGTCCTTGTGCTTGTGAGGCAGGCGGCGGAACCACCAAGCCAAATCCCCAGTCCCCCGTGCTTTCTTTTAAAGAAATTCTCTGATCTTGGTGACTATTTATTGAAACCTTTCTGGCTTTCCACAGTGCTCCTCTTGGCCCCCCAGTGATGTGTGCATCCTCTGCAGCTCCACTTGGCCTCTGCCAGCCCAGGCTTTGGCCCAGTCTCACCTTCCTGACACCACCCCCAAACAGCATTCTTCAGGACCCCTGCCTCCACACCAAGAGAGGACTTGGCAATAAGTGGTATCTGCTGCCACCATCTCCCTAGAGAAACAGGGTAAGAGCTGGTGGGTGATACAGCTCAGAGGTAGAGCCACATGCCTTGTACACGTGAGGACCTGGGTTCAAGCCTCAGCACCAGTAAAGAAAAATACTTTGAGAGAGAAAAATATATCCAACTATGTCTAAAGTGCAAAGCTTACAAAACTGCCATTGTTCTGCATTGCTCAGAAAAAAAAAATCACTTTATTTGCATTGATTCTTCTGGTTGTGAATTCTTGAGACAAAATACTAGCGTGTCCCCAGCACTGGCAAGAAGAGCCACTTCAGCTCACCCTTTTCTACAGTGACCACTTGGGCCAACCTAATTTGACTTTTTGGACCATCTTCACCCTCCTGCAAAAACTATCTTACCACCCCATGTCTCTTTGCTGGCCCTGGACACCTCCACGCATAATTCTGGGCGGTGAGAAAACAGCTTTGATTCTCCCCCTAAGCCTTCCTCGAAAGCGTAATTAGTATGCTGTGTGCTGAAGCTGATGGTGGCTTTGGTAATTTTAGAATGTCGAGACTGACTGATTTTGTAGCCGTTTAGTGCTACCTCTTCCTGTCTGCAAAGGGCAGCACTTTAGTTGAAGATGCCTCGGGCAAAATGGCCCCCGCTCTGGCTGTCTCATTTCAGAGATCCCAGGAGCAGCCCGTGTCCTGAAGTCACCCTGTCCCAAGTCTCACACACAAGACCTCCCCTGCATCCTTCTCTGTTGCTCCAAGGATGCTTCTTAATAAAATAACATTTTCTTCTAATCACCCAGGATAGAGGATTCCTATTCTACCATCCTTTTTGTCTCCACAGCCAGCCGGAGGGAAGTCGGTCCCCACTACTTTCTCTTGAAATGTTCTTTGCATGTTGAACAAACAGGAGATGGAAGTTTGGGGGCTGCTGTGTTGCTTTGGACAGAGATCACCAGCCACCAGAACACAGGCCACCCTGCTCCTGCCCTTGCTGTCCATGCCTCACCTGGTGCAGAGGGAGCAGTATCCTCAGAGCCTGAGAGGCGAGGACAGCCCATGTTTTCCCCAATCACACAAAAGATGAGCCATAGCTGCCAGCCCAGGAGAGCGGGGGAGAGGAATCTGCCTGCTTCGGAGCACTCACTATTTTTAAACACTGTGCCTGTGGCTTTGTGAGCAGCTAGGGTGGAATGTTATCTCTGGGGCTGCAGGATCAGCTGGTACGACCTTGTTTCCAGCCAGGCAACTGAGGGCAAGAAACTCACCTGAGATCCCCGAAAGAGGGCAGCCACTATTAAACCTCATTCAGACAGCAACCTGGAGGCTGCTTTCAGGTCCTTCCTGAAGCCTTTTTCCTGCACTTGCGGCCAAGCTGGGCTTCCCTAGCCCGAGCAAGGCAGCCTAACTAGAAGCCCCAGGAGTCAGTAGGCAGGGGCTCTGAAGCAGGAAGAGGGTGAGCTGGGTCCCCTGTGGGCTGCTATGGCCAGGAAACCGCCTCAGAGGCTTCCTGGAGAAGCATCTCGACACAGGAGGGGCATTGGCAGTGGGCCAGAGCCTGCTGAGGTTGGGGGATGTCTATCAGACCCACATTCAGGTCCAGCTCTGCTCCCCCAGAACCACTCACTCTGCCTGTTCCCTTATCAGTTGGAGGGGACCCGTGTGCTCCCCGAGTATCCTAGGTACTAAGTCAAGGTCTGCAGTGAGGGGTCGGACACAGGAAGAGGCTTGGTGGACTCTGCCACCTGGAGCTCCACTCTGACCAGTCTCATCCTGGGCCCCAGCCTCTGGCTACCAAGCTTGACCTCTGCTCATCAGCTTTCGGGGCAGATCAGCTGCCATGGTCTGCTCACCCTGGTGGCATTGATGGGGCTTTGGTGTCCTCCCCCAACCCACTCCAGCTGTCGGGAAACAGGGCCACACTGTTACCTTCCTTTTGAGTGAGCTTCTCCCCCAGTTTCATGAGTTTTGACTGCAGCTCAGACGCCATGATGTAACCTTTCTTCTCCTTATCTGCCATCAACATGGCCAGAAGAATTTCTTTCTTTGGGTCCTCTTGTTTGATTTGTGTGTGCATAATGGTCAGGAAGGTGGAGAAATCTAGCTCTCCATTTCTATCTGGAAAACAGCAGAGTGAGCAGGGAGAAAAGGTTCTTGGGGAAGCCAAGTGGCTGCCTCCCCAGCTTTTGCATCCAGTTCCAGGACCACCTGACTGAGGGAGCACTTCGATGGTAGCATGGTCATGGTGAAGAGGATGTAGCTCCTACAGAGCTCCACATGGGTCATTCATTGGGCTGGATAGCCTTCATTTCCTCCTCTGGTGACCACGTTTATTATCCCTCCATTTGTGTACTAAGGGGACACAAGGTCAGAGTATAGAGTCACAGCACCAGGGTGGACCACCTCTGCCCTTTCCTGTGCTCTTCTTCCTGTGCTCCCCTCCCTCCATAAGCTGGAGGGAAATGGGTACACTTGGCCATTTTCCCCTTGGCAGCCACCAAACCACATTTGTAACCTCACCTGGGCCTTAAGCGAAGGCCTTGCCCCATTGCTCACCAGTCTGACCCTCCTGAAGCCTCCACCCTAACCCTCTGGGTGTGCCTCAGCCTAAGCCCTGGCCCAGCTGCTGCCACAGGAAGCTGGAACTTCCGAGGCCACAACTTCCTGTTCAGAGGAGACAGGAACCAAGGAAACCACCACCTCTTCTCAGCTGGAAATGGAGGATCTCAGGAATCAGGCCACTGAGGGAGGGCCCCAATCACTGGCCTCTGGCCCTCAAGGACTTGCCCGGAAAGGGCTGCCAGCACTAGGATGCAGCCTCCAGCAATTCTAGCAGATAGTGGGGCCCATTTGAGAGGTGAGGATGAGTTGGCTGACCAAGAGGTGGCCTTAGGGCTCTAGGCCTCCCTATCCTGTGGGCCAGTTCCTCCTTCCCCAGTGTCCAGCCCTGACACAGCCACTGGCCCCTGACACCTCCCTGCCTTTAAAAAGCAAGCAAAAACCACAAGGCTTGTTTCCAATTCTAAAAGTCTTATATGTTCCTGCTGTTAAAAATGCAGGGAACAACAATGAAGGGAAGAGAAATCACCCTTAATCTGGAGAGAACCCCTTGGTAACATGCTGAATGGCTTTCTTCCAGTTCTCTAGCAGAGCCATGTCATTTCTAGGTCAGTCTTTGAATTCAGAACTGGGTTCCAATCCTGGTTCCACTGTTGGCTCAGGACTCAAATTACTGAATGGCTCTGAGCCTTGATCTTTGCCTATAAAGTGGGATTAGCATAGTGTCACCTTCCAAGGGCTGGGTTGAACACACACCAAAGGGACCTTTGTCTGTTAAAAACAACATTGGACAACTGGGTTAACACTGTGTTTCTAGGTTTGTGATAGACTTGTGGGATGCCCAGACCCAGGTCCCTGGGGCAAGGGTGTCAGCAAGCCTCCCCGGGCCCACTCACCTATCAAATGGGTTTTCAGGTGCTGCTCCACCTCCCCTCGAGTCGGGCTGGCCCCCAGGCACCTCATGGCCACCAGGAGGTCAGTGGCTTTGATCTTCCCCCTCTGCTGCTTGTCGTACAGGGAGAAGCATTCCTTGTACTCTGTGCACAGCCCAGAAGGAGAGTCAGTCACTGTTGATCACCATCCTCCTGTCCTCTCCCCTCACTGGTCCAGCTCCTGTGCTTACAGACTCCGACTCTGAGGGGGTCACCCAGGGTCTGCTTACAGCTGCCGTGGGGCCCCTCGTCCCTTGGAGACAACGCAGCTACGCAGCCTGGGCTCCTCAGTGCACAGTTGCACAGCAGGGCAGCCGAGAGGCAGAGGGCGGCCAGGTGGAAGCTTGGCACACTGTATTCGCTCACTGCTAATTTACGGCTCCTATTCAGCCAGGATTTGGCAGGTGAAGCCAGCATGCAACTTTGCCTTGTCAAATCATGACAAAAGGATGTTGCTTTCCCCCAGTGAATTGGAATTATCCTGTCATTAGATCTGAGGAGTGATCCACCATTAAACTATTTCACCTTGGTACAAATTAGGTTCATTAAATTGAAACTTCTTTCAAACCTTTAGGACTGCTGACCCCAACAGGGCTGTCTTCCTAGATTTAGGTACAGATTGTTTGGACCTAAATTGTTTAACCATGGCTTTTACCCCAGGGCTCTGGGCCTTCAGCCACCAGGTCCCCCCACCATCCCCACACCCCAGCTCAGCCCCTTCTGGGTCCCCATTCTGTGTAACCTGATTCTGATTCTCCTCTTGGCCTTGCAGAAACAGCTCTGCACTGCTCAGAACTGCAGGACCCAGAGAATAAAGTGCTCACACCCAAGTCAGGCAGAGGGGACCCCAGCTGACCCCCTATTTACAGATAGGGAGACAAGCCCAGAGAGGAGGATCCTGCCCAAGGGTACAGACCTGGGCTCTGTTTTGTTTTGTGTTTTTTTGGCCTCTGCCAATTACAAAAGCCTCCTTTTCCCCAGTTCTCAGCCATAATGTTAAGGTCTCTCACCAGCCCGCCCCTCTTCCTGCCCAAATCCTATGGCAGCCTAGTGACCACTCTCCTGGGACCTGGCTTGTACCTACACTCATGGCTACACAGCCAGCAGCCCCACCTTGGAGCTCACCCTATCCAAGTGCCAGCATCCCTGCTGCAGCTGGCCCAGTGCCCCTGGGTGGCCCAGCCTCCCCCATGGCTTCCTCCCACCAATAGAAAAGGAGCACACCAAATTGCCTAATGAGACCCATATTTTGCTGACAGTTGCTAATTAAGGAGCAAACAACCTACCGTTAATTTGGTCCTGGGAAAGAAACTTGGCCTGCAGTGGAGAGAGGAAGAAAGTCAGGGTTGGAAACCATCAGAGGACCCCCCAGATCCCGCTGGTGAGACAGACCCCCCCTTACCATATTGGGGCTCCGGCTGCTCTCAGAACCACGCTCTCTGTTCCTCTCTGGCTTCAAGTCGAAAGTCCGCCAAGGTGGGTGGAGACTGGGTAATAAACCTCCGGCTACCATGGAGACCGGGCCACCACCACGGGGTCAGATTCCAGCTTCCATGCACAGCTGAGGCTCTGCTGGCCTGGCCAGCTTGATTAAGAGGAAATGGGGCTGCAGAAGGCCTCTTCCAGGTCTTGGAGTCCCTGCCTTGGGTTGATCCTCCACAGCAACCAGGCTAACACCTCTCTTCCTTCCTGGAAGCCCCGGACTCTGAGCAAAGGTCAGTAGGGCACAGAAAAGTAGGGGTGGGCCTGCCTTGGGGAGCTTCTCTTTTTGGGCTCAGCCGGAACACCGACCAGCTCCTTGGTGCAGTTAGGCACTGTATAGCCCCACTGAGGCCTCATCACCCTATCTCGAAGGGGGCCCAGCTCTGAGATGCCTTCCTCACACCATGGGGGACTTGGGCTCTCAGGTGGGACTCAAACCCTTCCCCTCCTGCTGATTCAAGTCACTGCACCTCCCTGTGCCTCAGTCCTCACCAGCCCACATCATAAAGCTGCCAGGAAAATCTGACGTCTGCACACAACTGGTTCTTGGCCTGTGGCAGTTGTTTGTGGACCTGAGGAGGACTGGCTCTCTTGCCCCACAGCCAGAGGCTCTGTGGTATCCCCAGGCCCTGCAGATTTCCTCATTCTTCCTTCCGCTTCAGCCCACAATGCTGACTCCCAGCTTCCTAAGCAGCCAGTGCTCTCCCCTCCCCCACAAAGGCCAGAGGCAGGGAGGGACATGCTGGGTGCTGGGCACCAGGCAGTTCTCAGGCTTGTCCCCTGTCCCTCACCTATGGCTGGTGGCTGTCATGTTCAGTTGCTCAGGTTGAACCTAGACAAGGGGACAGATCTGGTGCTGGGGAGGAGCAGCAGGTTCTCAAGGGAAAGGGACCTCTGGCTGCAGTGTGCAAGGGCAGCATGCAGACAGGTGGCCTGCCCTGGTCCCCTCTGCCTCCCTCCCTCCTGGCTTCCTCCCTGTGGAAGTCTCTTCTCCCAGATTGCCTCCTTCTTCACACCTCGTTCTAGACTCAGGGTTTCCATTGTGGGCTGACTCCTCCCTGGGGGCTGAGGCAGGAGGGCCTCCATGGCACAGTGTGGGAGGCAGGGCACTGCCCAGGGCAGCTGGGAGAGGAACGGTAGGGAAGCCAGCAAAGCCTTGAAGGGCAGGCACAGAGCCACAGCTTGGGGGTTCAGAGCACTCACCCCAATTGCCTTGCCTTTGGGAAGGGCCCAGGGGATTTAGGTGAGCTCGGTGCCCACCCTTTCCAACAGAGAACGCCTGGGTGGGGGGGTGGCTACACCACCCAAAAGCCCACCCAGGTGACAGTGTACTGTGTAAGGTGCTGCACCTCCGTGCAAAACAAAACAAAACAGGCAACACTGCAAACACCTCCCACGACCTGGGCGCCCAGCTCCTCCCAAGCACAGCCTGGATTCCTCTGGACCCATAAACCCTGCCCTCACCCCTTACCCTCCATGGGAAGGGTTCCCAGAGGGAGGGAGCTCCTCCCTTCATTTTCTTCGGCACAGGCCACTGTAAGAGGTTCCCAAGTAGAGACCCTGGGGACCCCAACACACAAAGGCTTTGCTGGAAGAGCTCTAGGCTCCAGCTCTGGGCCTTGCGCCCCATGCCCGCCCTCCCCCGGAGTGCAGGCTGCAACTTCGTCCCTTCACCCATTCTGTGTGGCTCCTTCATGTGCACCTGCTGGGTGAGGGCACAGCACTGGCCTCTGTTTCTGCCCTGTGCATCCCAGAACAGAGACTCGTGAAGCTGGAGCCTCAGTGTCCCCAGAATACATGCCCACTTGGAACCTGCAACTGACCGTATTTAGAAATTAGGGTCACTGCAGATGTGGACAAGGCTGTCAGTGGAGTAGGGTGGATGTCAGATGCAAAGACACAGGGAGACGCCACCTAGTGACAGAGGCAAAGATGGCTGGGGCCACAAGCCGAGGGCTGCCAAGCATGGCGCGTGTCCCAGGAGTGGGAAGAGGCGGAGAAGGACCCTCCCCCGGACGCTGCGCAGAGCCTGGCTCTGCCAACACCTTGATTTTGGACTTTGTCTCCAGGACCAAGGGGACAAACTACGGTGGTTTTCTGCAACCCAGTTTGTGGCACTTTGTCACAGCAACCCTAAGTGGACTCATGTAAGGCCCCAAACTTGACCTGGGCGTGCTGGGCCACAAAGTGACAGTGTCACCCACAGATCTCATTAGATGCAGACTTGGGAAGTCTGGGTGGCCCTGAGATGCTGAGTCTCCCCCAGTTCCCAGGCGAAGCTGACACTACCAGTCCAGGGACCACACTTTGAGCAGCCAGGGCCTGGAGTGGTTCCCAACCTGGAGCCCACGCCAGAACCACCTATTTCCAGGGGCCTGGCATTTTCCTCTGCCATCCTGGGGACGTCACTCTGACAACCACGGACATGTGGTTTCCTGGGCCGATGAAGCCAGGCTGAAATCAAGACCCCTTCCTAGGTGATGTTCCCAGCAAACTGCCGAGGTCTTGACTGCCCGAGAGGCACACAAGATCTCCAGGGCTCCAATAATTTGCTATTTCTTACCCTTTCTAAATACTCACTTTCATGTCTGTTTTTATTCGTTCTTTTTTTAGTTTCCTTATGAGGGCTCCCCAAACTTATAACCTTCCGGCCCCACCCAAGCAGGCTCACCCCTGCTTAGGGTTTATATGTAGCTTACTGCTTGCCTGGCTTGCCTGAAGCCTTGGGTTTGATCCCCAGCACTGCAAAACAAAAAACAAAAAAGACCTGCAGAGAACATTGCTGGGATAGCAGTGAAGGAAGCAAAGGACTAAGCTGGCAGGGAGGGGGCAAATCGGCCTCTCCGGCCTGGTGCATCCTTCATGTAGTGTGGTGAGGCTGGGTGCGCTAAGGCCCTGAGAAGACAACTGAGAACCTGCCCAAGGTCAAGTGCCACCTCTGACACATGGCCCTCTGCCTTCTCCCAAAGGTAGCGGAGGTACCCTTCCCTGCCCCCACCCAACCCACAGCCCCCAGACTCCAGGGCTAATGGAAGACGCCCTCCATGCTCCCAGCCCAGGAGCTGCTCTGTGGCCAGCCTGGGCTGCGCGGACTCTTAAGGTCTGCCCATGGCTGCTGCTAGGAGTCTCTCCTTGACCTCAGACCCCCCCATATCTGCCTGCTTCACACCCAGAGCCAGAAACAGCTGCCAGCCAGGCTGGGTGCCATACCCACTTTTATTCACACCAGACCTCCCGAGGTGCCAGGAGATGGGGACCAACCAGGGCCTGGAGGGCTCCTAAGGGGCTGCAGAAGGACCCCAAGAGGAGAGGAAAATCTGAGCCTGGGGCTCCCTGAGAGCACAGGAGGGGGGCAGGGCTGGGGTAAGGCAGGGCAGGCTCCCAAGACCTGTCCGGCTGGATAATGAGGCTGTGCGCAGTGGCTTGAGCTGGGAGGGGACCTGGATAGAGGCCCAGAAGGAGGCAGCTGGTGGTCTGCGGAGGCCCAGGCAGGGGCCCTGTGCTGGGAACCAGGCCTGTTCTGGGGGCAGGGCCACTGGCAGAAGGGAACATATCCAGGTGGAGACGAAGCTGACTGGCTAGAGCCTTGGGGGGCCCAACTCCTACAATGGGCTTCCCAGAAGAGAACAAGGGTTTCTGCCTTCAGGGCCAGCTCAAAACCTCACAGCAAGCCAACAGGAAGATGCTGCCACAATCCCTCCAGGGTAGAGGGAGCCGAGCCAGGCCAGGGCAGTAGGGTCAGTCTTGGAGCTCAAGCTGCTGTGGCCGGCGGGAAGCCGGACCTCTGGTTCCCTAGGGTGGGGTTGGGCAAGGCTCTGGGGTGCACATACTCCTTCTGGTCTGGAAAAGGCAGTGACAGAGCCACTCACTGGGCCACTCTGGGACGCTGGCCTGTCTGGCACCACTGAGGCCCAGAGAGAGATGCTTTGTTCAGCCACGCAGAGAAAGGCAGCGTGCCTGGTAACCACATGTCCAGACAGGCTTCTGTCTCCCCAGGCTCCTCTGCATGGCCACTGGAAGACATCCTAGGCGGGCCAGGCAGCCCAGGTGGTGGGAGTGGGGTCAGGGGCCCAAGCATAGTCAAGAGCAGGTGCCAGGAAGGGCCCAGATCTTGGTCTCAATGCACTTCCTAGAATGGAATTCCATCCCCAAATGAGCTGGACCAAAGTAGTCGAGTCTTTTGGCAACGTACTCCATGCACACAAACCAGCCCCTGCGTGACACATAGCTGCGATGTCTTTGGTCCCTGGTTCACATGCAGATGCCCAACCTATGATGCCCACCATGGCCACCACACAGAGCACCATGGGCCGGTGCAGGGGACTCAGAGCTCACTGCTGACATGGAGAGTGTAGAAGGCCCAGGGCTCAGGGACATAGATGACACCTGGGTACTTCTTCCTGAGTACTGGGTCATTCCATAGCCAGGCGACCCAGAATGTCACCAGCAAGAGGGTGAGGGCAAAGGAGTAGAAGAGGAAGAGGCCATTGCTGTCCAGGAAGAGCCGTCTGCGCTTCTGGTGTAGTACGAGTGCCAGCATGGCAAAGAAGGTGAAGATGAAGAGGATGAAGATCTGACCCTCGGTGACCAGGTACCTGAAGAGGTGGTCATGTGTTGAGGTGAGGCACATTCCATGGTAACCGCATCCTACACAGCATCCCTCTCTAGACCCAGTGCCAAGCTGCCCTTACAGCCAGTCAGAAGATACACCTAGTGAGAGGCCCTGGTCGTCCACGCCACTCTAAGCCACAGCCCATGGTGCCATATTGCTTGGCCTGCAGGGTGTTTGCAATTTCTGAGCTTGTTGCCAATGTGTAAATGACAGAATCCCTGACAATGTGGATTTCTGGTTTCTCTGCTTGCATCAAGATTCTATTTCCACATGACAAAACATGACTAGAAGAGAGATCAGCTGCCCTTTGAACAGAACATGGTCTGTACTTGCTGTCTGCCTGGTGTATTTTTCACCTGCTTGGTTTCTGCAACCATTTGAGCTTGGAAATGCAGTTGGAATTTATGGCAGTTGTCATTTCTGTCTCCTTGTAGGCTGGGACATGGTCTCAGCAGACCATGGACCCTACAGTGCCCCAGGCAGTACTCAGCATGTGGGCAGGAGCTTGGTGACTGCCAGGAGGTGACCTGCTTATCTCCCTTATCTACTCAGAGCCACAATGCTGACCCGTTCACTTGGGAGCTACAACTCTGCAACTCGGTGCCGTGTGATGCTGGGGAATGTAGGTGCCATCTTGGAGCCTCTGATTGCTCCTTATGAGGGCGCATACCTCTCAAGTTTATGGCAGGTGCTGGGGACATCCCTTACTGGGGACAGCTTCTTGTCTGATAAACGGCTGGTGCTGCTGTAGCTATCGCTGCACCAACTGCTATGGGTGGAATGAGCAGAGAGCTGAGCCCCAGCTCTACCCTCTTTCCCGCCTGCTGTCAACGCCACCATCCCTTTAATCTCCTCCTCGGGGAGCTCTCAGGTCACCCCCGGTGACAGATCCTAGAGGGGACTGGAGCTGGGCCCGGGAAGGAGGAGCCCTTCTCATGTTTGAGGGGTGCTTCCCATCCTAGAAGGGCCCAGGCCTGCCTGTGACGCCCGCAGTCCGGGGGTGGGAGGGACAGAGCTTGGCTGAGACCTGGGACCTCTGTAATGGGAAGTGGGGGCAACAGGGGACAAAGGCTTCTGTCTGTCCTTGTCTTCTCCATGGTGCTTTGTAATTCCTAAATCCCCTTTCTCTCCCCCAGTCCTCACCATCTCCTGAGAGGGGGACAGGCAGGCATCATCTTCATCTCGGGGGGGCAACCGAGGCCCAGGGGACTCTAAGGTGCACTGTGCACCCTTAGCCCACCCCCACCCCCTGCTACTCAAAGACCTGGGGTTCCAGATCACAGGGAAGTCGCCTCAAGGCACTGTCATGGTCCCCCCTGGCCCCAGGGGGAAACGGACCCAGAGAGGCGAGGCTCACTTGGGGCCACACCACAGTGCTGTGGTTCGTCACTTGTGGATGCTTCCTTGATGGCTCCCTTAGTGCCCTGACCACCCAGATGTCACTGTGACTCACCAGTAGTACAGGCCACTGGGTGCTACCAGCAGCAGGGCAGGCCTGGGCATGACACTCTGGGCCTTGGAGGCGGTGAAACAGCCGCTGAAGTACATGACGAGGATGAGGAAGAAGGGGATGTACCTGCCATAGGAGGCCGCACTCAGAGGCCTGACCAGTGGCCCAGGCCCCTGCCTCCACCAAGGTCCCCTTCCCTGCCACTGTTGCCAGATCCTTGGGTGAGGGGTGTCCCTCTCTACCTGGCCTTTCCCATGCTGGGGGCCGAGGGGGGCAGGAACAGAGACGAGGAGGTGAGGCCATGCAGCAGAGAGGCCCGGACTCGCCACTTTCTGCCCATCCAGTGTTCCCACCCAGCCACCCCCCACTCCAGCTCAGCTTGTGTAGGGCAGGGGAATGCAGATGACACTCCCAGCTCAGGCTCTGGTCTCTGGAGGCTGAGCCCTCATTTCTGAGGATTCCTCCTGACTGCAGGGACAGCAGGTATGGGAGAAGGAGCTCTGCGAGTTCTGAAATGGGGAAGCACAAACCGCTCCCCTGGTCTGCTGCCTCTCAGCTTTCTGAGAGGAGAAGAGCACAGCCTGACACAGATGGAGGCTCTGCCTCCATCCCATCCCCAGGTAACATCTGGAGTGGGGACGCTGTATTCCTGGATGTCTTGGCCAGGGTGGATGATAGCTGCTTGCTGGCCTCTAGTGGCCACTACGGGCACTGTGGGCTGGAGAAAGAAGTGTTATGCAGGTGGGAGGGCAGGGGCACCAGGCTGCAAGACACCAGCAGGGTCCCGGGGCAGGCTCATAAGGCCTGGGCTCATAGCACCCTTGCAAGGGACAAGAATGCTACTGCAGCCACTGCACTCAACACATGGAGACCTGGTCCCAGCCCCCAGATTGTCAGCTGCTCTTCCCTTCCATCACTCACCACATGGAGTGGCCCAAGTACTCATCATAGTAGTACAGCAGCTCAAAGGAGTCAATCTGGGGGAGGCAGAGGCATGGCAGGGTGAGAGGGGGGAAACTGGCCACCCCAGGGCTCCCTCCTCTCCCCCATCCCGACTCAGGGCCTGCCCTCCACCGCAGGGGCCCAGGGGGACACCACCAGCACCCAGATGCCATGGTGCCCATCCAGGACAGACTGCCCCTGGGCACCCGGGCCTCACCAGTGTCTCCGGCTTGAGGTTCTTGATGATGGGGTTCTCACGGACTGACAGGTGGTGCTGGTAGCCGCTGAAGAGCAGGCGGTGGTTGACAGAGTCACCCACCAGGTGGATGCTGGCACCCATGATGAAGATGATGATGCTGACATAGATCACGGAGCGTGGCAGGGTGCGAGGGGACCGCTCGATGAGCTGAGGTTCAGAGCAGAGTGCACAGCACAGCGTGTCCCCACCTGTCACAGCACTGACACCCACAGCTTCCCCCTTCCTCCCATGGGATGGGTCTCTTAGCCAGTCAGCCCACTCCAGAGCTTCACAGGACCCCACAAACCCAGCAGGGCCTCAGAGCAGCTCCCTCTTCTCTGGGGAAGATCAGACTTGGGGACCAGCCCATGCCCAGTCACATCTGAGCTGCATGCGGGCTAGGCCCTACCCTCACTGCCCCAGCCATGGCCAGTGGCTAGTGGCCTGCTCAGGCACCTGACTTCTGAGGGATTGGCCCAGTGATTGGCAAACAGGAAGAGAATGTAGAGGTGGAGGTGGGTGCTTCAGGAACTAGAGAAACTGCATTCTGAGATCACAGCCCTCCTGCTTTGGGAGATTTGAAACGTCTTTTTTATTGCATGCCAGGGCCTCCTGCATGCTAGGCAAGCACTCTACACTGAGCCACACCCAAGCCCCCAAATTCCTTCTTCCCTCCTTCCTTCCCCTCATGGGTTTCACTATGTAGTCCAAGCTGGACTGGAACTTAAATTCCTTCTGTCTCAGCCTCCCCACCTACAGGTATCCACCACCACATTCAGCACTGAAATGTCTTAAAATGATGAGTACAGTAGATGGCTCATACAGTTTGCCCCGTGTCCACAGACTCCACATCTGCAGATCCAGCCAACCCAGGACCCAGCCAAAACACTGTGTCTTTCCCAAACATACAGTAACACCTAGTGACACAGAATAACCGAGAGACTTCCATTGCTGCCTTTCCTACCACCTGTCCCTTAAAGTTTCCCAACTGGCCTGATTGGTCCCTGCACACCTCAATCACTCCTGCCTCAGCCTCCCCAGTGTTGTGTGGCTCCCCAAGCACAGCTTGTCTGCAGGTCCTCCTGTGGACCACCTCACCTTCAGGCACAGGGGCCCCTCCTGAGAACATCTCTGTGCCCATGTGCAGAGCAACCCCCCCATGCCAACCTTCACTCCCAGACTCAGGCAAGGACAGTGCCACAACTGTACCTTCAGCAAGAGGAAGGGGGTGATGACGTTGTAGGCCATATGGAAGTAGTCGCCAACGCTGGGCTTGTTGAGAGGAAACCACTGGAGTGGGAACACCAGCTAGGGGCGAGAGGGGCACTCAGCAAGCCGCCCACAAGGCCCCTTCATGCATGTTACTGTCTGTGTCTGCAGGGACCCTCCTGGCAGCCACAAGAGATAGGGGAACTTCCAGATAGGGGAACTGAGTCCCACAGAAGGTAAATGGCCTTGTGCCCATTCAAGCAGTAAACATGCCTTTCGGCCCTGGCCTCTTTCCCAGTGGGTACCAAATAAATGCCCCCGGATTCCAGGAGGGTCCTTTGGGACTTAGTTATTCCATCAATTTGCTGAGTGACTTTGGCAAGTCCCTCCCTGCTCTGGGCCTCAGTTTCCTCATCTGTAACACAGGAGAGGTGGCCCAGTGGTCTACTTGGACCCTCAGGGGTCTGCCACTCCAGGTCCCAGGTGGAGCTTTTGGAAGATGACTGGGTCACAGGGGCTTATAGCTGACTTCCTGTTAGGAAGCAAGATCTGGTCCAAAGAGATGGGTCACTGGGGGAGTGGCCTAAAAGGGTTGATCTCTCTCCCAGGCTCCTCCCTTAGTTCCCTTTGCTTCCTGTCCGCCGTGTCCTGAATAGCTCTCCTCTGCCATGCCCCTGTGCTATGCTGTCCTGCCTTTGAGCCAGCAGACTATCGACTGAACCAAAACAAACCCCTCCTCTTTTCAATTGTGGGCGTTAGGTATTATGTCTCAGTGACAAGAAAAGTGACTAAAACTGATTTTGATGCCAGAGAAATAAGGTTTCTGTGACTGTACCTGACCATGTGATTCAGAAACCTTTGGAACTGGTTTGGAGACACTGGCTGGAGAAGCCCTGGAATCCTGTAAGTTAAGCTTGATGGGAGATTCTGGTCAGAGTTCAGAAGACCAGAAACTGATAGAAATGCAGACAGTAAAGGTTAGGCACAGGCAGTTTCAGTTGGGACTAAAAACTCCATTGACAATTGAACTTGAGACTATGTGTGTTATGTTCTGGCAGAAAATTTGTCTATTTTGTTGGGGGATTTAGCCAGGTTTATATTGAAAAGCAAGATTAAATCCCATTTTTAAACTTTTCAATTTTGCCAGGAAAAAAAAGGCATCCACAAAAATGGGGCAGAGGAGAGCTTGGTTGCTAAAAGATTTTTTTTTTTTTTTTGGTATCAGGGATTGAACTTGGGACTTCACGCTTGAAAAGCAGACAGTGGAACCACTGAGCTAAATGCCCGGGCTGGTTGCTAAAAGATTAACATTAAAAAGAAGCTAAGAACAGTGGATCAGGATGCTGGGGGAGATGCCTATGGGCATGTCAGGAATCAGCAAGTCCCCACCCTTCAAAGGCCCAAGGTTGCAACAGTGAAAGATTGCCAGGCATGGTGGCACACACCTGTAATCCCAGCACTCAGAAGGCTGAAGCAGGAGGGTTGGCAAGAGTTTGAGACAGGGCTACACAGTGAATTCAAGGCCAGCCTGTCTACATAGTGAGACCCTATCACAAAAACAAAAAACAAATGTGAACCAAAAAAAAAAAAAGAAGAAAAAGAAATACAAAACATCAACAACAAAAGCACCAAAAAACAAACAAAAAAAGGTGGAAGACTTTGCCTTGTGAAGAGAGTCCCAGGGCACCAGGCTCCAGAATGGCAGCCTAGGGCACTGATTCTCTGGGATTCAGTTGACAGTGCTCAGCCCTCCAGACCTCTAGAGGCCTCTGGAGCCATGATGCAAGAGAGCTCAGCTATTGCTCAACCTGAAAGCAGACCTTGGGGCCATCCACATGGTGCTGGTTTTACAGGCATGTAGAATGCAAGAGATATGGGGTCAGGGAGGCTTGCTCCTAGAATTCAGAAGGAGGTCTGGGAGGCCAAGCAGTGTGTTCCTGAGAGGGCAGTGTATGAAACCAAAAGTGTAGTGGAGGCCCCAGGAAGTTAGAGAAGCCAGAAACATGGGACATCTGAGAAAAACCACAAGAAGTGAGCAAAGCCAGCTCAGGAGAGAGGCCACGAGGGCTGCAACCACTAGCAATACAGCAAGGGCGGGGCTGCCTAAGCCCTTTAGAGTTCACTTCTCCTCCTCATAACTTGCCTGGGCGCTGGACAGGAAACAATAGGACTTAATTTTCCCCTGCTGGGTTTCAGTCTTGCTTTGGTCCCATTCATTTCTATCTGCCTTGTCCTCCATTTTGGAATGGGAATGTTTACCTAGTGCCATTGTGTGCTGTGTGCGCTGAACTTTAATTTTTATAGGGGTTCATAGCTAAGAGTTTGCTTTGAGTCTGAGACAACTTTCAACTTTTCAGTAATGCTGAAACTGTTAGGATTTAGGCAACTCTTAGAGGTGGATTAAATGCACTTTGCATAAAGGAATGTACCTGAGTCTTTTGGGGGCCAGAGGCTGAATATTATAATTTACATCCAGATGCCTCTGAAGAGCCTCATGTGCTCCTAGGCAGGGCTTTTGGAAGGTGACTGGAGTATGGGGCTGATAGCTGATTTGCTACTGGGAGGTGAGGTCCCTGGGGGCGTGGCCTGGAAGGGTTTATCTTCCTTCCCGGCTCCTCCTTTGCTTGCTCCACCATGCCAGGAGCAGCTCTCCTCCACCATGACCCTGTGCCATGCCATCCTGTCTGGGAGCCAGCCGAGCATGGACTGAAATGTGAGCCAAATAAACCTCTCCTCTTTGAAGTTGTGGCTGTCAGGTATTATATCTCAATGATGAGAAAAGTTATTAAGATAGTACTAAAAATTAAAAATTACCCAAGGCTCATAATTTGTAATATGCAAAATTGGCAGATGTTTCATCTCCAGAAAAATGCTACTATCCCAGGACCACAGAGAAGGACAAGGGATGTACCCAGCTTCCTTTCCTGTGCCCTGTCTGATGTGGTTCAGTCTTGCTCACCTCCTGCAGGGGATGCAGTCCTACAGGGGGACACTGTATGACTACTCAGATGCCCCAGAGTCCCTCCCTTGCTACAGCTGCTGGGCTGGCCACAGTCACAGGGCTAAAGGATGTAAAATGTGTGGGAGACTGCAGTATTGATTATGCCCAAAGCAGGCTGGAAGCAGTGCAGGCTGTAAAGCGTTAACCCCACAATTGGCTTGTTTATAGAAGTGAGTCTGGCCAAAACCTATGTGCTGAGGTCAGAGTAACTCACACACAAATTCCATTCCTACAACGAAAACTTTAACTAGAAGGACAATGTTCTAATTACAATCATATATTTTGTCTATTCTGTTACTAATTTGAGAATGCTTTGTCTTGTCTTCTACGAGCCTTGCTTACATTAATTTCCATAGAATCCACACAACTGCACATCCTCACAGGTAGTATTGCCCTTGGACCTGGCTTGCCTTTACCCCAATTGATTACTAATAAAAATGAGTGGCATGGACAAACCAGCGCCTTTGTAGGTTACACCAGCATTATTCGTCCCGGCACCCCACTTTCTGTCTCTCTTAGTTCTGTCTTTTAGGGTTTTTTTCTCAGGCCTGCGTTGTACACTGGGTGGGAGACTAGAGCCTACTACAGAGGTTTCTGGTAACATTTCAGGGGTGCCCAGTATCTACGCTCCTCTCAGTTTATTGGTAGGGAAGTGACTTGCCTGAGGCCACTCTACAAACCCAAGTCTAGCTCAGGCTCCTCGGTGCTGGTCAGGGCTCACACTCACCATAGCAATGGGGCGACCAAAGTCCAGAACCCAGTTCTGCAGGGTGAAGTAGAACCAGAGGTCGAGGTGGAAAGGAGCTGTGTGGTCGGCCTCATCTGCCTTGATGGAGCTGTGCCTGGGAAGGAGAGATGGGGGGTCAGGCCCTCTCCTCGGCCTATCAGACCCTCCCCGAGATGAGCCACGGGAGGCCTGTTGTCTTGAGAGCAGGAAGACACACAGGGCTGAGGTCTAGGGGAAGGGTGCTGCTGGGAATGCTGGAGTTTGGTCCCCTAGTCAAGGGGGAGGTGGATTTCAGTTGTCCTAACCTTGGCTTCCCTGGGGTTTGGAAGGGAAACTGCCACACAGGGAGTGATAACTGCCGCGCTTCCTCCCCTACAAAATGATGGGGAAACGAGACAAAGTGTGCTGACACAGCTGCAGAACGTGAACTGTGACATGGGTGACAGCAGGTAGCCTTACCGAGCACTGGCTACATTCAAGGCACCGTCGTTAACTGTTACACGGAGAATCTCATTTAATTTTTTTGTTTTTGTGGTGCTAGGGATTGAACTGCACAAGCCAAGCACACACTTTACCACTGAGCTACATCCCCAGCCCTTCAGTTAGTTCCTTGAATCCTCACAAAAACCTTTGGCGGTTGGACGGTTGCCCAGTTTTACTGTTCTCTGGGACCAGCAGGCCAGGCGCAGCAGGCTTCTCTAGGTTGACTAAGTCTTCCTGTCCCCTGCTTGCCCCAGCCCTGCCCCTTATTGAACACCTACTGCACGCTCTGCCAGGAGCTTTACCCACAACAACCTAATCCTCCCAGCAACCCCTGGCAACAGGAGCTGTTAACCTGCTGCTTCCCGATATGGATGCTGTGCTTAGAGGGGTCACGGTTTAGCCTTGGTCACCCACGTGGTCAGGAGCGCTGTGATGGCTCCTCCTCCACCAAGCTGTGTCCTGCCCGGCTTCTTCCTGGGGGACAGGATGCTGACCGGGGTAGCCAGTGGGACTTTTCTAACTGAAGTTGGGGAACAAGCTCTTTCCTTCCAAGTGCAGGGGCTCAAAGGACACGGGGCCCAAGCTGCCTGTAATAAAGGTTCCTGAGAACCAAGTGGCCCACAGAGGGCCTTGGTGGGAAGAGAATATCCGCATGTCCAGGGCCGGGAACCTCCAGGCCAACACATGCCCTTTGCTGAGTTGACACAGGTTGCCCTGGCTCTCTGTCTCTTATAAACTGGGAGTCCTGAGCAGCAGGATCCACACCTGGGTGTCTGCAAACTCAAGATCTGTGCTCTCAACAGCGAACCTCTGCTGTTTTTGGTAATTACAATCAGCCAGCTGGCGTGAGAAGAGATCAGGTTTCGAGGGATCCTCAAGGCCAGGAGCCGCTGCACAGCTGCAGGAAGGAAGGAAGCCTCCAGGCAGGTAGGGGCTAGTTTAACATGGCAGCAGGAGCAGGAAGAAAGGCTGCAGGTGGCAGTGAGATGCCAGGAAGGGCTGGCTGGGCATAGGGCTAGGCAGAGATTCAGAGGAACCAGGAGGTCTGCTTGGGGACAGTGACCAGCCTCGCAGTGACCATCAGGGTGAGGCCTCAAAAAGCAGACAGTGATAACCTGCAGGCCCCAAGGGCGCAGGTGGGGAAGACAGCTCAGTGTTTTGCTCCGAAACCTCCAAAGTGGATGTTTGCCACAGGGATAAAGGGATGCTGGGAGGCCGGGCAGCCTTAGGGATGAGCCTGTGCAAGTTCGGGGTGCCCTGCGCATATGAGGGGCTTGGGAGCACTTTCTTCCTCTGCCCTGGGAAGCAGCCGACTGAGTGGCAACCCCTGTCATTAGTCCAGTGCAGCCTGGAGGGCAGGAAACAAAACGCAGGCCCAGGGCAGACAGTGTCCTGGGGACCCAAACTGCTGAGCACTTAACTGGCTTTCTTCTGGGACTCTGGCCTGGGAGGCAGTCAGGGAGTATAGGGGTCCTGGGGACGAGCACCCCCCCACACCTGTCCCAAGTTCCTGACCCCACAAGCTCCAGGTCCTGAGCTCCAAGTCCAAAGTCTCACTCCCAGCAACGGCGGCTGAGGACAATGGCAGGGAACCTGATACCAGACCCTGTTGCATCTGGGGACCCGACAGCGCATCACACTGAGGCAGGCAGCGACATCAGCAAGGCAGTGGTGGAAAAGTAAGGGAGCTTGTCCTGGTCCTGGAGAAGCCAGGGAGGGACCTATGAATGGGACTGATTTCGGTTCTATATAAAGAATGGTGGCACAGGCCTGCAACCTACACTCTGGGAAGCTGAGGCAGGAGGATCACAAGTTTCAGGCCAGCATGGGCAACTTAGTGACTTAGCAAGACCCTGTCTCAAAATAAAAAAGAAAGGAAGGACTGGGGCCGTAGCTCAGTGTGAAGGCTCTGGGTTCAATTCCCAGTACAAAAGAAAGAAAGCAGGGCGGGGGATTTAACTCAGTGGTGCCGCAGCCTGCCTCCCAAGCGCAAGGTCCCGAGTTCGATCCCCGGTACCAAAAAAAAAGTAAAGAAAAAAGAAAGAAGGCAGGGAGGAAGACCAGACAAAACAAGTTTGAGGGGGAAAAAATGAGTACCCGCAGGCCAATGAGAAGAGCGGGGAAAGCAATTAAACTTCGGGAAAACAAGGGCAACACTACAAGGTAGCGAATTTAACTGTTGGCCATCGCTTGTCCCCGCAGGGAACAATGTTTGCATGGCTTAAATAACGTGAACCCTGTCAGTGTTTAGGATCAACCTAGCGATAAAATGCAGAAACTGACAGCGCCAAAATGCCGAAGGTAACTGAGGCTCCTCACGCCAGCCTGGCGCGGGCACGCTGGAGGCGCCTCGTGACGCGGGGCGCAGTGCGCGCTCCCTCCGAGCGGTAAAGCAGCTGCAGCGCGGAGGGAAGAGTTCGAGGACCCGAGCTGTTCCTCTTGATCCCTCTGTTCCCGCGCTCCGGGTGCCAGCCCTCGCTCCCCGCCGTCCCTTCCGGGATGGTCTCACTTTCCGTGGCTCCTAGGGCGAGGAGGGAGCCTCCCGCTGGGCGGCAGAACCAAGTCCTGCGGGGCCGGGGCCGAGAGCTCCCGGGCCCCGGAGAGGTCGCCAGAGTGCGCCCGGTGGAGCGCGGGGACCCCAGCTCCGGCGAAGGCGCCCCCGAGAGCGCGGAGGCCTCGACGGGAGGAGGTGGGGAGCACGGCCCGGACCCCCTAACCCCGGCGATCCCGGCCCGCGCGCACCCACCGGCCCTGAAGGAAGGAAGCGCCCGGCTGCGCGCCCGCCGCGCCCGGCTGCTGCCGCCTCCGCGCCGCCGCCTCCATGGAGGGCCCGGGAGAGGAGAGACCGGATCCACACGGCCGGATCCCCACGGTGGCTCCTCAGGGACGGATCTGGACCTCACGGGCGGATCTTAAGCCAGATCTCCTCCGCCGCCGATCCCCGAAACCGAGGGGATTCATGGGGGGGGGCGGGGGGGCGCGGGTGGGGCGGGGCCTCGGGCAGGGCGGGGCCGGGCCGCTGGGAGGAGGGAGGGGAGGGGAAAGGGGAGAGGAGGGAGGAGGGCCCCCCCCCCATGCAGAGCAGAGAGGAGAGCACGCCCAGCGCGTGTGGCCACTTGGGGCTGGCGACTGCTCAGATCCTCTGCGTTTCCCCTCAGCAAACTTGCCCAGGCTGGCTGAGGCCCGGGTACAGGGCTGGGAGTGGTTGTGAACCTGGGGAAAAGACCGAGCTGACTCTCACTCCTCTGGGGAGGAAGCCAGGGGGGATTTCCCTTGTCCTTGGGTACCGGAAGGCCTGGGGAGATTCATGTCCTTCCACCCTGCGCTGTGCTGTGCTGTGCGCCTTCCTTTCAGGGGGAAAGATATCCTTGATTAAAATGTCAACAGCGTGGGCCATGACGATAAGAAATAAATAATGGTTGGGTTAGGAGGTGCCATCTAGAGGAGCAGGATTCTCTCCAAGTGTGCGTGTGTGTGTGTGTGTGTGTGTGTGTGTGTGTGTGTAGAGTCCAGCCTGGCTTTGTCACTCTTGGGCCTGTGGCTTTGGAGAAGTCACTTCCCCTCTTGTAATGGGAACCTGTGTGGAAGCTGGGAGTGTGTTGGAATTCGGGGTCAGATCCCTGCTCAGCACTGCACTCATCATGTTAGAACGTGTGTAGTGTGAGGGTCAGTTCCCTGGCCGGGCTCATTACAAGACAGAGGATGTGGAGAAAAGGGTCAGGATCGGGGAGGCAGCCAACTGTCAACTTTTGCAATAACTGGTTCCAGGCTGCCCAGAGCATGCCGGGAAGTCTGCAGTTACTGTCCTCAACCTGCGGGGAAAGCAGCGCCTCGCAGACTATCCTGTGAGGAGGTCACCCCTCCAAGCGGTAGCAATTGGCTGCCCCAAAGCAGGAGTCCTCTCTCGCCTGGGAACCAAACTGCCCCTTGAAGCAACCATAGCTCTCCCAGGACCTTGAAGAACCAGTCCTGAGAGACCAATAGTCCTGAGATAGATCAATCGGATCCCGCTCACCTTCTCTGCTAGCTGTGCACCCCCTCCCCAGCCATCCATACCCCAACCCTTGCCTCTGTTCCCCTTTTCCATAAAACCCCAGAGCGCTGTCTTCGGGCCCTTGGAAGGTAGATCCTGAACCTTTTTATCTGCGTGGCCCGGCTGGTTAAAGCTCTTCTCCTGCCCTTCACCACTGGGCTCCTTGGTTGGTGTTGTGGGACAGGTGCCTGTCTCCATCCTACTTTCTTTCCTGCTCTTTCATTTGGGAGAGTTTTATTGGGCTTCCCCCGTCCCTGTTTGCTCAGAACCGGCGCGTCCAGCCTGGCTCTGGAAGTCTGCCGCTGTCTGCCTTTAGTCGTTTTCTGCCCGCCCCATCCCGGGCTCCAGCAGCCCGCAGGCCAAACCCCAGTCCCCATGCCAGCCCCACTGGAGACAGCTTTGCTCCCTAGCTCTTCTCCTCGCCCGATCTTTACTTCGTTACAAGCAAAGCCAGTGATGTCCCAGTTTTGCAGCAGAGAAAAGCCAAGTCCTGCGTGGAAGTCGTACACCCAGCCAATGTCATCGCTAGGATGGGGTCCCGGCTTAATTCTGGTGAATCTGATGTGCATATTGATCTCAATATAAACCAGAGAAGGATTGAGGTTTCAGACTCTGACCCTAATCTCTCTTCTGCGGGCTTCAGAGGGAGGGAGGGGGGTGGGAGCCCCGATGTGATGACGGTGGCTTTAATCAGCTGCAGGGGCTTGGCCCACGAGGAGGGAGCCCCTCGGACCCACTTAATCCTCCAATGCCTTAAGCACAAATCTGCCCCTGCCTGGCACTAGCCGCTGCCCCCATTGGCAGGCAGTGCCAACTGGCAGGCCCAGGATTTGCGGAACCAACCCGCCCACTGCATCAGCCACGTGCGCTCCCTCGAAGCCGCTTGCCATCAGATCAGGACCCTTCAAAAGCACCATCTCCGTTCCCTCCCAAGTTTCACAGAAATTCAGTGCCATCTCTTGGGCACTGAGGTGTTTGTATTTTCAGAGTCTTATTTATTGGTGACTCTCTGGAGGCGGGGGCTCTACACACAGACAGGAGACGAGGTCTCAGCTGAACTGTGGTTTCAGTGACTGACATCCAGGAACCTGTCTGCTAGGATCATCCAGCTCGGTGCATGACCTAAGAGCCTCCTAGCCTCACCTGTCATCCAAGTCCTTGCTGCGACGCCTGGCTTCTCAAAGCACAAGTCAGCCCTCCCCAGCCCTGGTTCCACAGGCTCAGAAGCGCAGGTGTGTTGGATGCTCCGTGGCTGAGCCTTTGGCCAAGCCGGGCTTCTGAAGTTCTCTGGAGCCAAATGAAGGCAGATCCCACAGGCTCTTGCAGCAGGGGACTACGACTGCAGCAAGGCCAGGCAGTCGTGCTCTGTAGGGTGAGCTGTTGTCTTTTTCTGTCCGGCTCTCCTCTGCTGCCTGGGTGTCCAGCCTCCACCCTCTCTCCTGGCCTCCGTACTCAGTGCTTCCCAGGAGCCTGCACTCAGATGAGCTTGCGCAGTGGGGAGAACAGACACAGGCAGCTCTGGGTGAAGAGAGACAGGGTGCCAGATGCCAGCTCTTTGATTTACCTACCAGGCGATGGCCCAGACCCCTCACAGGACTTCCTGGAAAGCCTTTGACCTGGGCCTTTGACACCGGGTGGGGCCCGCCTGCACTCCTAATCCAGAGAGCTCTCTCTAGCTTGTCAAATTAAGTAATCGGGTTTTTGCAGTACCAGGACTAAACCCAGAACCTTTGCAATGAGCAACATCCCAGCCTGTATTTATTTATTTTTTAAAAAAATTTTTGATACAGTGGCTCAGTGGCACTGTGCCTGTGTGGCAAGCCCAAGGTCCTGAGTTTGATCCCCAGTACCAAAAAGAAAAAAATAGATACAGGGTCTCATGAAGTTCCCCAGGTGGGATTCAAACTTACCATCTTCCTGCCTCAGCCTCTCTCAGTGCTAGGATCACAGGTGTGCACCACCACACCTGACAATTTAAGAACTTTCAAAAACTTTTCTTTCCCCCAAACATTTTTCCATGTGGGCTGCTGCCAGAGGGTTGAAGGCCCCAATAGACTGCGCTCTGCCAGGGAGGCAAAACGCACACACATGTGTTACTCACATTGCTTTAAGAAGATTCTTGTGTTGGGCCTGGTGGTGCTCCCCTATATTCTCAGCTACTGGGGAGGCCAAGGCAGGAGGATCACAAATTTGAGTCCAGCCTGAGCAACTTGGCAGACTCTGTCTCAAAGTAAAAATAATAATTTTAGAAAGGGTTGGGGATATAGCTCAGTGGTAGAGTATTTGGTTCAGTCCCCAATATAGTGCTACCAAATAAATAAATACATAAATAAATGTGGTTGTGACAGCTACAAACAACTGGGGACAAGTGGTGACTTTAGAGGATAAAGAAAGACAGAGGTATCTCAAGGGCTCTAAGCAGAAGGGTACAGTGAGGACTGAGGAACAGCTGAGAGCCAGGACATGGACTGGGGGAGCACAAGAGTCACCTCCCCACCCGCATTTCTCTCTTCTTGTGGCCCAGTTTCCCTGTTTCCCAGGAAAAATGGCCACAAATGGCCTCAGCTGGCAGCTTCCAAGTTTATCTCTTCCATCCCTGCTTGCTTTGTTATTATAGTGCAATACCCAAGGCAGGCTAACTTTAGAAAGTAAAGAGGTTTATTTAGCTCATAGTTTTGGAGCTCCTTTGGCTCAGGACCTAAAGGGGGGCGTCTCAGAGGGACACAGATCAGAGCAGGAGGCCCCCAAACTGGAAGCCAGACAGCGACTCCAGGCTCAGTCGCGCTCTTACACAATTCGCCCCTGTGAGAGTGTAAGGCTGCCTGGAGAGCTGCCTGAATCCCTTCTCGGACCCCCCACCTCTACCCCTCGCACCACCTGTTAAAGGTTCCATGTTGTCTTCCACCACCTTACAGCCACAAACTTCTGGGCTAAGTCATTCTCCTGCCTCAGCCTCTCCAATAACTGTCATGGAAGGGTTCTGCCTGGCCTGGCCCTGAGTTAGTTATTCACCCTGTAGCCGAGGGTGTCCATGTGGGTTCTCCAGTCTCCAGAAACCATGTCAAGCTGCAGAGGATACAGCGGGAATTTTCCACAGCCTGGTGAGCAACGGGTAATATCAGCTTTGAAAACAGTTTAAGAATCGTCAGGCTGAGACAGGATTCCAAGTTTGAGCCCAGCCTGGGCAACTGAGTGACTCAGTGAGACCCTGTCTGAAAATAAAAAATAAAAAAGGAGAGGGGATGGAGCTCACTGTATAGGCCCTGGATTCAATCCCATTACTGAGGAAAAAAATTGCCCACCCTTAAGGCTGTGTGAGCAGAGCTTGACATGTAGTAATCTGCTTGCATGGGACAGAAGCCCTCAGCTGTTAGTCATTAGAAAATCTTGGCTTTTCCCAGAAGCCTCTGCATAGAGTCCTTAAAGGTCAGCGGCACTACCCGTGCCCCTCCCTCAGCAGCTGGCCCAGCCCAGGAAAGAAGGCCTAGCTTGGAGGAGAGGAGCCTCAGATCCTGGGCTACCAGGCTAATTCAGGGCTGTGTGACCCCCGAGCAGCTCCCAAGCTCTCTGCATCTTAGATTCATGCCTATGAAATGGGGACATCACAGTAGCCTTTCCCGGGGACTTGGGAGGTGCAGGGAAGGTGGTGGGAACCTGACAAGTCCCACTCACTGTCCTGGGGACCGGAAACATGGGACACTCTGGGGAGGCCCTGCTCCAACCCGGAGCCACACTAAGGCTCCATGCTAAGCACCGAGATAAGCATCTGGGTCCCCTCTGACCCCGACACAGGGACGTGCTCTGGAGCTCCTGTCCGTGTCCCATGGACGGCCCTGAATTCTCTCTGGGCTTTGAGTCTCCTCCTGCAGCAGAAATGGATCAGCCTGAAAATGAGTCTAAAATTAAATGTAAGTCAATTTTGCTAGCCT